CGCGCCATTTGCAACGCAATTTACATCGTACCTTTTGCATCGGGAGGACGTCCCAAGGCGCTGGACAGTCAGGGATTTGGATCTGAGCTGGGGAGGGGGAGGTTGGGAGCAGGGAGGGTAGGGGTTAGGTAGCGGGGGGGTGACCCAAGTCACGGTCGAAGAGGAGGGTCTTGAGACGGGCCTTGAGGCGAGGCGGAGGGGCTCCGGGATGGGGTTCCGAGTGGGTGGGGGCAGAGTGGCTGAAGGCCTGGGGTTCAGGCTGGGAATGTTCAGGGAGACGGTAAAGATTCTACGGAGCTATCCTCAAAAGGGGGGGGTTTCTCTCTCTCTCTCTCCCCCTACCCCCGGCCGGCGGTGTCCTGGTTGTCAATCCCCTGCGTAGAACTAACCGCACCCTTCACAGCTGCGCGTGTACGTGTGCCTGTGTTTGCCCGTGGGTGTGTATATACGCACTTGTGTACGCGTGTGCATACGCTCCGGGACGCTAGCCCGCAGGCAAGCCGTTATATAAATGCAAGTTTTTGTTGTTGTGGTCGCGATTGCGCATGCGGAAGTGCGTGCTTGTGTGTGTGTCTCTGAGTGTGTCTGTGTGTGTGTGTGTGCGCGTGCGTATATGCATGCTTGCGTGAGTGTGTACACACGTGTATGTACGTATGTGTACAAGTGCGTGAGTGTGTGCCAGGAATTCCCGGCCTGCGGGATCCGCTCCGGAGCTGAGCTGAAATTCCTAGGAATCAGGAGCTCCTCCAGGCTCGTGTCTGTCTGTCCGTGCGGAAATAACAACAACAACAACAACAACACAGCTGTTTTCCAATTCACCAGCTGTGACCACGCCCCCCCCCACACATTACTCAACCACAGGACGGGAAGGCAGAGGAACCCTGTGCTCCACACACACACACACACACACACAGAAACCCGCTCGGGATTGTTGGTCGGGACACCAGGAAAAAGAACGAGAGAGAAACTTCTCACCAACGCTGCACGATCTTTACCATCCACCTGAACGTGATGCAGACGGGGACATCGATCTAACGTCTCACCCTGAAGGATGGCATCTCTGAACGCCCCCCCCGGTCCTCCCCACCCGCCCACCCATCCCATCCCAGGAGAGCCAACCTGGACCGTGAACTCAAAGACACCGGTGTAAGACCTGAACTCACAACCTACTGACTCAAGAGTCGTGAGTGAGAGTGACTGAGCCGGGCTGACAGCAGATATTTATCTGTGTGCGCGTGTGCTATATATATATTTATAAAAATTCTGAGAGAATCTCTCAGTCAGACCACCAGCGAGAGAGAGAGACAGACGCAGAGAGAGAGAGAGAGACAGACGCAGAGAGAGAAAGAGAGACAGACGCAGAGAGAGAGAGACAGACGCAGAGAGAGAGAGACGCAGAGAGAGAGAGATAGACGCAGAGAGAGAGACAGACGCAGAGAGAGAGACAGACGCAGAGACAGAGAGACAGACACGCAGAGAAAGAGACAGACTCAGAGAGAGAGAGAGACAGAGACAGACGCAGAGAGAGAGAGACGCAGAGAGAGAGAGACACGCAGAGAGAGAGAGACGCAGAGAGAGAGAGAGAGACACGCAGAGAGAGACAGACGCAGAGAGAGAGAGAGAGAGACACGCAGAGAGAGACAGACGCAGAGAGAGAGAGAGAGAGACACGCAGAGAGAGACAGACGCAGAGAGAGAGAGAGAGACAGACACACACACAGAGCCCAATAACACAGCTAAAACCACACCGCGGCTTAGCTTTTTCAGTCGAATTTGAAACAGGAAATAGAAAGGCAGAATATTTCCCGGTGGTACAGAGAGGCTCGAGGTACAGTCACTAGCGACCCCCCCCCCACCCCACATCTTGGAGGAGAATCCTCGAGTCTGAACGTGGCTCCTTATTACGTCGTCGAGACGCCTCAAAGCGCTTTGCAGGATGCACTGTAAAGCGTAGTGACTGTGCGTTTTGCGGGAAAAACAGGCGTGGATCAAGTGACCATTTTTTTGTGTGTGTGTGTGTGTGGGGGGGGGGGGGGGGAGAGGATGAGGTGGGGGTATCATTACCCCCTCGAAAGCGATTCGCCAATCGACTAACAAACGGGTTTCCTACACACTGCCGGGGAAACATGAGGCGTGTGGGTGGAGTAAGGAAACGTGCCTAAGGTTTTGAGGTTAATTCAATGGTAGCGTTTACACCCCAGGTTATAAATACAGCGCTGAGCACATTACTCAGCCTATGACTAGTTCCCATCTCCTGGAGACCTCTTGGCTCAGTGGGATAGAATTTACATCCCTTATTGATGAGGAAGCTTCAGCGAAATTGCTCAAGTCTTATAAATAGACCAACGCAGTCACGCTCCCGCACTCAAACAGCCTGAATCGTGAGGTAGCGCAGCGGTTTGGCCCCTTCTCCTCGCAAGCGAGAGGATACGGCTTTGGTTCCCGGCTGGGGCAAAAGCTTGGGCGAGTTTCCGCACTCCTTCCCCGGATAGAGAGACAGAGAGAGAGAGAGAGAGACACACACACACACACACGAAGATAGAGACACACAAACTATACACGCACCTGGGACACAGCAACTCCCCCCCACCCCACCCACACACACACAAAGAGAGAGCCACACAAACATACAAACTACACACACCTGGAGAGAAACAGCAAACATTCAGTCCTGGAGAGAGAGAGAGAGAGAGAGAAACAGACAGACAGACAGACAGACAAACCACTTCATGCAAACTATCTGAGGAACAGTTAAGTATGGAAATGAGAACCATACAACAAGCAAATTTAATGTAAAACCCAGAGACTCGCAATGTGTTGAACGCGAGGGTTGTTTGCGTATAATTCCCCGCCCCGTGTTTCTGCTATTTTAGGGGGACGGTTCCGAGGGGTAGCCACCTCCCAAAGCACGTCACAGAACACGCGTGATGCCGTATTCCTCTGCCAAATGCTCGGTGCGTGTTTCGCAGAGAAACCCGGCAGCGGACTTGTGCGCAGAAATATCCGACAAACAGCCAAGAAGTGAACGGCCGTCCAATTCTATCCGAGGGGCCGGGCGGGCTGGGATTGTCGGCCAGGACACCGGGAGGGACCCGAAAAAAATTCAGCAAATAGTTGAGTGCTTTTTAATCCCTCCTCATCAAAGCTTTCCCTGGGATAATAAACGAATTCCTCGCCCCTATTCTCCGCTTTATTCAACTTTGGAATCAAAGCCCAGAGAGCACAGCGACCCACAAATGTCAGCCTCGCAGCCCAGATTCCTGCGGGAAACAGCTTTGGCAGCTAAACCAGGAACAGAGGAAAACAGGAAGCGGAGGAGGCCATTCAGCCCACCGAGGCGGTTCATCCAGTTTATTTTAGATCTCGTCAGATCTTTTTAATCCCTGCAAACGAACAAAAGCCCTTCACATCTCTCTCTCTCTCTCTCTCTCTCTCTCCCCCCCCCCGCCCGCACATGCCTTTCACACCTCTCTTCTGCTGAAGAAATGCTTCCTGACCTCGGTTCTAACCTTATGGGTTATGGCAGGTAATTGGAGTTGAGGTACAGATCAGCCGTGAAATCATAGAAAGCGGGTACAAGCTCGAGGGGCTGAATGGCCTCCTCCTGTTCCTATGTCACTGTCTGGGTTGCGATTTTCGCACTACCCCAACCTCCTGCACGCCAAGGAATATACCCCCTGCACCCCCCCCCCCCCCCCGCGATCTAACCAGCCTCTCAATCATAGCACATCAGAGACTATTGTGAAAAGTGTAGTGACTGTGGGGAAACATGGCAGTCAATTGTGCACAGCAGTGTCCCACAAACAGTCGTGGATTGAGTGACCAATTTTTTCTGGGTGGGGGGTGGGGGGGAGAGAGGAATTATCACCCCCGGAAAGCAATCCGCTAATTGACTAACAACCGTCGACAGAGGCGTGTGGAGTAAGGAAACGTGGGTGAGGTTTTACCCCAACCCGCCCGGGAATTAACCCCGGTGGGGGTGGGGTCCTCTCGTTGGCTTGCGAGGTGAGGGCTCAGGACTCCACGCTTCAACTCTGTGGCTGCAGAGCGCTGGACCATTATGTATGTGAAAGCCGCCAGGCAAACAAGAGCGAGCTGTAGATACTGTGAGTGTCACTGAGGCGCGGTGCCAAAACCACCGCCAGACGCTGTTCACAGGCTGACAAGTTCTTGCCCCGCTCGGCCCTGGCTACGTAATCCGTCTCCTCCTGCCACGGGCTCAACACGACAAACTGCCGCTCTCTCTCTCTCGCGCTCTCTCTCTCTCGCTCTCTCTGCAAAGGTGTGAAGTGCCTGGAAACCTCCGACGCAGCAACAACTTTGCCCAGCGCCTCCTCCGTCCTCTATTCCCTTCTCCGTCATGCTTTCTCTTCGACGTATCAATATTTTCTCGCACCCGCGCACTCGCTCGTGCGCGCACACAACTCACACGCGCACACAATCGCACACTCACACACACAAACACACTGCAATCCTGTGGATGTCTAAATACAGTTGAACACTTGCACTGAATACAGTTAGCGTCTCTCTCTCTTCTCTCTCTCTCTCCATCTCTCAGACACACACTCTCTCTTTCTCTCTCTCTTTCTCTGTCTTTCTCTTTCTCAGTCCCTCTATAAACACCATCAAAGACTTGCACTGAATACAACGATGATCATTTTAAATACAACTAGTGTTCTTCCACATGTTTCAGTCATTGAGTCAGTGCACTGGGCTTTGGTCAGTATTATCCCACCCCCACCCCCTGTGGGAGTGAGTGTGTCGGGGAGGGGTTGGTGGGTAATACATCAGATACATCAGACCGATTGCAAAGAAGATTAAACACAGAAAGTCAAATACTGAAAGTTTAAAGTCGAGCTTTTTATCACATTGCCACAGGAAGTGTGGGGTGAGGAGGGGGAGGGAGGGAGGGAGGGAGAGTGAGTGAGAGAGAGCGGTGTTTAGAACCAGACAGAGACCATGGGGCGGGGGGGGGGGAGGCAGTGTAGAGCGAGGATGTACCTGGTAATAGCTCCTGATGTGCCGGACTAAGATGCTGAGGTTCTGGGCTCGCAGGTTGACGTCATTGTTAACGCGTCTGTAGACTCGCTGGTTTGTGGGCCTCGGGTCTCTGGAACGAGAGGAAAGGTCTTAGGACAGTGACAGCACAACTCACTCCCCCTTTCAAGGTCCCCCCCCAGCCCCTAACATGTCGTCTGTCTCCCCCTCAAATCCCTCCCTCGTCAATCACCCTCAACGCCCCGCGACCCCCCCCCCCACTCCTGTCTGTCCCCCACGTGACATTGCACTGGTCAGAATGAAATTAATCTTTGCAGTTGACCCAGTGCCTGTCCCCTTGGGAGGATGTCTCAAAGCGCTTCACACGATTCACTGTAAAGTCTAGTCCCTGTGTACTCACAGAATGGATTGTAAAGCGAATGCTTTTACGATGGGTTCGCAACGGAACCCTTTATTTTGCGGGCGAAACACAGCAGCCAATTGCCCGCAAACAGTCGTGGATTGAGTGACCGAATTGTTCGTGTTTCTTTGAAGGGATTATTACCCCCTGAAAGCGAATCGACTAACAACCGGGTTCCTATTTACTGCTGGGTAGACGGAGGCGTGTAGAACTTGTCTAAGGTTTCACCCCTGCCCGGGAATCGAACCCGGGTCCTCTCGCTTGCGAAGCGAGGGCTCTACAGAATCTGTACAGAGGATAATCTTTCCTGGATTCATCAGTCCTGACCCTGACCCACCCTCTGGAGGTGAAGGAACAGACTGAGGAGGGAAACCGTTGACTCTAGTGAAAGGTTAGAAGAGTGACCGTGAGAGCCATCCTGACCCAATCTCTAAACCCTGATCAATATTTACTCTGTGGTTCAGCTGGAGCAACTTTTGAACTATTTCGTACTATTGTGGAGATCCATAGCGCAGCGGTGGTTAGAGCGCTCGCCTCGCAAGCGAGAGGACCCGGGTTCGATTCCCGGCCAGAGGCTGAAGTTTCCTTACGCCACACGCCTCTGTTTACCCCGCGGTAAATAGGAACCCGGTTGATATTTGATTGGATCGCTTTCCGGGTATAATAATCCCTCCACCAAAAAAAAACACAACAAAAACAAATTGGGTCACTAAATGCACGACTGTTTGTGGGTCCCTTCTGCTCTCAATTGGCCTTCGCGTTTCGCCCGCAAAGTACACAGTTACTACACTTCACAGTATATTCTGTGAAGCTCTTTTAGAGATGGCTGAACGACGCGATAAGGCGCTGCATCAAATTATTATTATTATTATTATTATCATCATCATCATCTATAGTTGTGGAGTTTCTCTGAAGGTCCCTGAGAGTCTGTGTCCTTCTGAATCATCGGGACGTCAATCTCCCACCAACTCTCCGAGCAGCTCATGAATTTATAACCGGGTCTCGGAGGAACAGAAGCAGTCAGCGAGCGAGCGAGCGAGCGAGCGAGGGAGGGAGGGAAGGAGGGAGGGAGGGAGGGAGGGAGAGACAGAGCATCAGGACACAATGAGGCTTGTGTACTCACACCCAGGGCCATCGTGTAAACAATGGGCTCAGAGACTCATTACATCATTTACATGACAAAAAACAACAGGCAACACAATTCATCTGCCGTCAGTTTTAGCGGATTACAAATTTCACTTCACTCCAGACACCAGCACAAGGTTTGGGTTGTACAGTATAGATCAACAACCCCCCTCTCTCTCTCTCATCCCACCCCCACCCCCCACCCATCCATAATTAAACGCGGGATGCAGGGCTCTCGCAGCTGCTGCTGGGTGTCAGTTTGGCTCAGTCACACTCTCTCGCCTCCGTGACCCCATCACCCCCACCATCTCCTGGCTCCACATCCCCCCAGAGGATCGAGTTCAAAAACCCTCGCCCTCACCTTCAAAGCCCTTCCTCTCCCTCTGTGACCCGCTGACCGCATATCGACCACTCCGTCCTCTCAGCGGGCTCCGGCCTCCTTCACGTCCCCACCGCCCGGCTTGGCCCAGCCCGGCCCCACCATTAGCCTACACCCTCTCCGCCTCCACCCGGGGAGCTCGATCCCATAGTCCAGCCGCCCTGCTCCCTCCCCTGTCTGCCTTCAAGTCACGCCTCAAGACCCTCCTCTTCGACCCCATCTTCGGGCACCCTCCCTGCCAGTTTGCGCTCAGCAAACGCCCCGCAAACTGTCGTGGATCTTTGGGAAATCTTGACCAGGACACCGGGAGAGAGAGAGAGAGAGAGAGAGAAACTGCCATAGCTTTTCCCAACAGCACCGCAACAGGATCTATAATATCCACCTGAACAGACCGACGGGACTAACGTTTAATGTCTCAGCTGAAGGTCGTTGCGTCTTGTAAGCAAATGCAGGAGCTGTTTTGCGCCGGACGTGGCCGCCAGCTGCCGCGGAACGAGATTCCAATGATTTTTCCCAGTTAAAAGTCCCCTTCGGAGACCGTTTCAGCCCTCGGACAAGACCCCGAAGCCGGTGCTTGGGATAACAGCAACTCAGTCACTCCCGGGGCTTAACACTGCGACACGACTGGCTCCTCGCACGCACGCGGGAACAACAGGAGCTGCGCGCGCTGCAGTGTCTAAGTTAATAATAACCCTCGCACTTGATCCAGCGACTTAACACCGCACAGCGCCCCCTCACGAGGGGTAGCGTCCCAGAACTCGGTGCTGGCCTCCTGTCTGTTCCTCGCACCCCCCGCTCCCCCCACCACCTCCGCTCCACCATCGGCAGCCGCGCTTTCAGCCATTGCGCCCCAAGGTCCTGGAACTCTCTCCCTCAATCCCTCCACCTCGCCCCCTCCGTCTACACCTTCAAATCCTGCATAAAGCCTTTCCATTTAGATGGTGCTTATGGTCTCCTGCCCCCTCCCTCTCCCCCCCTGGCTCGGGGTCAGACTCCGCCACGGTCAACCGCCTCCGAGACGCTACCCCACGTATTTATGTAGCTCGTGAAGGGCGCGATATAAATGCAAGTTGTTGTCGACCGTGTATTTTACAGGCAGCCTAATTTGCACACAGCAACATCCCACAAACAGTCATAAAGTGAGTGATTAATTTATCTGGAGGATTAGCGACATGGACATCGGGGCAAGGGAGGGGAGAGGGAGAGAAAGAGGGGGAGAGAGTGTGTGAGGAGAGAGAGAGGAGAGAGAGAAACTCCTTCTCTTTTCCCGACCAGCCCTTCAAGCTCTTTAACAAACAGGGCACAGACATCTTATCCGAAGGACGGCATGTTTGATAATGCAATGGAGTGTCTTCCTGCTTCCCTACTCCCCCCCCCCCCCCCGTCCCCCGTCTCTCCCCCCCCCCCCCGTCTCTCTCCCTCCCCCACCCCACACGCTCTCTCCCCCCCCCCACCCCCACTCTCTCTCTCCCACACCTAGTCTGTGAGTTCAAAGTCCCGATGTGGAGCTTGAACTCACGGCATTCCTAGTTGCTACGAGCCACTTGACTTTGAAACGTTTCCAAACGATCTCTATACGTAACATTTCCAGCATTTATTTCAGCAATCGCAAATGCAATTCCTCTCTACTCTGTCCTCCTCCTCCTCCTCCTCCTCCAGCTTTTATCTGGTGGGAATGTTTTGCTCTTCCCCTCTCACAAGGCCAGGGAAGAGGGAGGGAAGGAGGGAGGGAGGGAGGGAGGGAGGGGGAGAAAGAAGAGAGAAAGTGTCTGATCGCAGCTTAGCTCCGAACCCAGCTCCGACTCCAGCTGAGAGCGAGATAGTGTTTCACCCCCACCCCAGAAACCACACACTCCCCCACTCTGTCCAGCTCTTTTAACCCCCCCCCCCCTCACCCCCCGATAATACAATTTTGTCAAGTTCATCCACTGATACAATCAGGATCGGATCCAAGTTAGCCTTCAAGAGGGAACTAGATGCACCTCTCAATAGGACTCATTTAAAGGAGTGCTCGGAGGGGGAGGGAAGGTGGGAGAGTGGCAGGTAAATGAGGCCAAAAGGATCGTTAAAAAAAATTGGTCGCTCAACTGTTTGTGGGGCCGCTGCTGTGCGCAGTAGTGTATCACAGTGTATTACAGGTATCCCGTGAAGTCCTTTGCAAGGATTATTACCACTATTATGATTAATAATAATAATAATAATCCTTGCATTTGATATAGCGCCTTTCACGTCTTCTCGACGTCTCAAAGCGCTTCACAGAATATGCTGTAAAGTGAATTGACGGTATATTTGTGGGCGAAACGCGGCAGCCAATTGCGCACAGCAGCGTCCCCACAAACAGCCGTGGGTTGAAAATGACCAATTTATTATTGTTTTGGAGGGATTATTATTAGGCTCTGTGTGGAGTAAGGAAACTTGCCCGAGGTTTCGCCCTGACCTGCCGGGAATTGAAACCATATAACTGACTGAGCTGAGCACAGCCACCACACAATGTCTGTGATGTGTGAGTTTCTCTGCATCTGTGTCACTCGCAAGTCTGTAAATCTTGGTGTCACTGTGGTCCCCAGGGGGTTAAATGCTAGTTGGAGTGAGAGGGAGGGGAGGGAGGGAGGGAGGGTTGGAGAGGGAGAGCGAGCCTGGCTGCCAAGCCTGTAACTGGCAAGCTAACTTTTAGTGCCTGGGGAGCAGAATGGAGGGCAGCAGTCAGACACACACAGACTTATTCTCGTCAAACACCTTCAACCCTGCGTCTGAACTCGTGCTCTGTGTTGCTGGTTCTTCACATGTTAGTTTTAAAAGGGGGTGAGCAGTCTCTAACCTCTTCTGAGTGCTACTGGGAGCACACACAGACATAGAGACACACACACACAGACAGAGACACACACAGATAGACATAGACACACACACACACACAGACACACGCACACAGACAGACACAGAGATACAGACAGACACAGAGACACACGCACAGAGACACACGGCCACACAGAGACAGACAGAGCCAGACACACACAGACAGACAGATACCCAGGGACAGACAGACACACAGAGACAGATACCCAGGGACAGACAGACACACAGGGACAGACAGACACACACAAGATGCAGCTCAAACGCACTGTTAAGAAACAGTGAGATGGTGTGCGAGTGAGGCTGTGGCTGGAGACAGGAAACGTCATATTCAGACACCTGCAAAAGCGGAATCTTTCACTTCTCAAACACAGAAATCCATCTATTTCGACCCAATTCTGTCTGCCCCACAGCCTGAGACTATCTTACACTGAGGAGGGGTGGGGGGGGGAGCCACGCTGCCATGCTGTAATCCTGCATCACTGCTTTACATTTCAAGATAGAAAGAGAAAGAGAGAGAGAGAGAGAGAGAGAGCGAAGGGGGGGGAATTTACAGGGATTTTTTTTATTTCTCCTGCAGCCACTCATAACTACAGGTCCTAAACAAGTCCGGATGTGGTTTAGCTTTGTTTTAAAGAATTCAAACCGTTAAATAGCAAAACAACCCCCCCCCACCCCCCCGACCAAAAGAGAGAAAGAGCCAGAGACACACACACACACACACAGAGACAGAGAGATACGCACACAGATAGTGAGAGGGACAGAGACGCACACACACACACAGACAGAGAGATACACACACAGATACAGTGAGAGACACACACACACACAGAGACTTACATTTGCAGCATTATATTGTGCAGGAAAACTCCATCCACCAAGTCCATAAACACGGCCCCTTTCTCCTCGTTCTCTCCTCCCAACGGCCCGAAGGTTTTGATCTGCGACGAAAGTGGATTTTACTGTAGTTATTTCGTTGCATACAATGCATAAAAAGAACACCGGGGACCCGGAGGAAGGGGTGGGGGTGAGGAGGGGGGGAAAATCTATCATATACCATATATTTAGGAGTGAAATCGGGAGGCTTTTTTTTCCACCCCAAAGGGGAGTGGGAGTCTGGAACTCTCTCCCTCCCCCAAACGTCTGGTCCCGGGAGCCATTCACATTTTCAAGACTGAGGTCGAGTCGGGGTATCAGGGGATACGGGGCAAATTGGGGGCAATTGGAGTTGAGGTCCAGATCAATCATGACCTTACAGAATGGCGGAGCACGCTCGAGGGGCTGAATGGCCTCTTCCTGTTCCTATGAGGAATGTACATTTCTGGGGGGGGGAGTTTATTTATATTTTATTCTTAATTTACACGCACAACACAGTTATAATTCCGGAGATAAATATCTACTCCAAAGGTTTACAAATCTGGATGGAGAATGCTTTTATATATATATATATATACACTTTAAAAAGCTACAAAGTGGACGGAGAGCTGACAATCCGGAGATAATAAATAGTTACGGTTTCAGAGATGAAAAGTTAAGTTATTTCGGGATTTTTGTCGGCAAAATACAGTGGATTCTGCACAGTCGTCGTGCCTTCAGCCCCCACCCTCTGGGACTCCATCCCTCAGTCCCTCTGTCTCACCCCCTTCAAGACCCTCCGCTTCGAACGTGCTTTCGATCTCCCTCCTTCCCCTTCCCGACCCCAGCGCCTTGGGACATCAGACAGACAGACAGACATAGGCAGAGAGACAGACAAGACACACACAGACAGAGAGACAGACACAGAGAGACAGACAGACACACACACACAGAGACAGAGAGACAGTCAGACACACATAGACAGAAAGACAGACACACACAGAAAGAGAGACAGACAAACACAGACACAGTTAAGGTTACAGATAGGTGTTGAGTACTGAGATCTCAATGGTGACAAGTTACAGCGCAGACTGTGGGGGGGGGTGTTTGCGGGGGAGAGGAGGGGGTTTGCGGGGGGGGAGGCAGGGGGTGTTTGCGGCGGAGAGGAGGGGGGTTTGGGGGGGGAGAGGGAGGGGGGTTTGCGGGGGAAGGGGGGGGTTGCGGGGGGTGGGGGGGTTGCGGGGGGGGGGGGGGGGGGGGGGGTTGCGGTGGGGGGGGTTGCGGGGGGGGGGTTGCGGGGGGGGGGTTGCGGGGGGGGGGGTTGCGGGGGGGGGGGGGTTGCGGGGGGGGTTGCGGTGAGGGGGGGTTGCGGGGGGGGTTGCGGTGGGGGGGTTGCGGTGGGGGGGGGTGTTGCGGGGGGGTTGCGGGGGGGGTTGCGGGGGGGGGTTTGCGGGGGGGGGTGTTGCGGGGGGGGGGGTTGCGGGGGGTGTTGCGGGGGGGTGTTGCGGGGGGGGTTGCGGTGGGGGGGGGGTTGCGGGGGGGGGGTTGCGGGGGGGGTTGCGGGGGGTGTTGCGGGGGGGGGTTGCGGGGGGGGGGACATACCCAGGTGACCAGAGGGCTCTTCAGGAACTCCGCCAACAGCTCCGAGATGGTCACATCCATCGTCCGTCCCCCGCGGGGCGGCTCTGTGTGTGTGTGTGTGTGTGGAGAGGGCAGTGCGGGGCCCCCCCGGGGCCGGGGGTCTGGGGTCTGGGGTCTGGGCTGTGCTGTGCGGCCCTGAGGGGGTGAAGCCCCCCCGACCCCCTCTCTCTCTCTCTCTCTCTCTGTGGAGCTGCGCTTTTGGAGCAGAAACCGTTTCTGACAAAACTTTCAGTTGTTTTCTCCAAAAGCAGAAAAGTTCCCGAAACTGAGGGACTGAGGGACTGAGGGGAGAGACTGAGGGACTGAGGGACTGAGGGGTGAGACTGAGGGACTGAGGGACTGAGGGACTGAGGGGAGAGAGTGAGGGGAGAGACTGAGGGACTGAGGGGAGAGACTGAGGGACTGAGGGACTGAGGGGAGAGACTGAGAGACTGAGGGGAGAGACTGAGGGACTGAGGGGAGAGAGTGAGGGACTGAGTGAGAGACTGAGAGACTGAGGGACTGAGGGGAGAGACTGAGAGACTGAGGGGAGAGACTGAGGGACTGAGGGGACTGAGGGACTGAGGGGAGAGACTGAGGGACTGAGGGACTGAGGGGAGAGACTGAGGGACTGAGGGGAGAGACTGAGGACTGAGGGGAGAGACTGAGGGACTGAGGGGAGAGACTGAGGGACTGAGGGGAGAGACTGAGGGACTGAGGGGAGAGACTGAGGGACTGAGGGGAGAGACTGAGGGACTGAGGGACTGAGGGGGGGGTGTAAGGGTGTGTGTGTGTGTAAGAGAGTGTGTGAGTGTGTAAGAGTGTGTGAGTGTGTAAGAGAGTGTGTGTGAGTGTGTAAGAGAGAGTGAGTGTGAGAGAGTGTGTGCACTGCGGCTTTGGCTGCGTTGCGGAGATCCAATGTTGTGCGGAGTAGTCCGTGTGCGGAGCGGCTGCGGGTCCCGTCCCCCCCAACGGTGCTGCGCGGCTACTGATTGCGGTGCGGAGCCGCTGTGGTGGCGGTGCGGAGCCGCTGTGGTGGCGGTGCGGAGCCGCTGTGACTGCGGAGCCGCTGCGGAGCTGCGAACAAAGCGCCGCCGGAGCCGCGGCTGCGCTGTGACCCGCCCCCTCCAGTCTGACTGACGGCCGCTCCGCCAATCAGCGCCCGCGCCGCCGAGGGGCGGGGCTTCTCCGGCCAATCAGCGCCGGGCGGGGCGGGGAGGGGGCGGGGTCCAGGTGAGCCCGTCACGTGACAGCCGCCGGAGGGGGCGCCTCCTCCCGTACACAGTGAGCATCGCAAGCACCTGCCCGGGGCAGGGCCTTCATCATCAGCACCACCACCACCACCACCACCATCATCATCATCATCACCGTCACCATCATCATCACCGTCACCATCACTGTCATCATCACCGTCACCGTCACCATCATCATCACCGTCATCAACACCGTCACCGTCACCATCATCATCACCGTCATCATCACCGTCACCGTCACCATCATCATCACCGTCATCATCACCGTCACCATCATCATCATCACCGTCACCATCATCATCATCACCGTCATCATCATCATCACCGTCACCACCACCATCATCATCATCATCACCGTCATCATCACCGTCATCATCATCATCATCATCGTCATCATCATCATCATCACCGTCATCATCATCATCATCATCACACCAACAGCGTTCACCATCATCATCACCGTCATCATCACCATCATCATCATCACCATCATCATCACCATCATCATCATCATCATCATCACCGTCATCATCACCGTCATCATCATCATCATCACCGTCATCATCACCGTCATCACCGTCATCATCATCATCACCGTCACCACCACCATCATCATCATCACCATCATCATCATCATCATCACCGTCACCATCACCGTCACCATCACCATCATCATCATCATCGTCATCACCGTCACCATCATCATCGTCACCATCATCATCACCGTCACCATCATCATCGTCACCATCATCATCACCGTCACCGTCACCATCATCATCATCACCGTCACCGTCATCATCATCACCGCCATCATCACCGTCACCATCATCATCATCACCGTCATCATCACCGTCACCATCATCATCATCACCGCCATCATCATCATCACCACCATCATCATCATCATCACCGTCACCGTCATCATCATCACGGTCATCATCACCGTCACCGTCATCATCACCGTCACCATCATCATCATCACCGTCATCATCACCGTCACCATCATCTTCATCATCACCATCACCGTCACCATCATCATCATCATCAACACCGTCATCATCTTCATCATCACCGTCACCATCATCTTCACCGTCACCGTCACCATCATCTTCATTATCACCGTCATCATCTTCATCCTCACCATCATCATCATCTTCACCATCACCGTCATCATCATCTTCACCGTCACCGTCGTCGATCAATAATAGCATTCGATACGGCGCCTTTTATCAAAGCCGTCGAGACGTCTCGAAGCGCTTCGCAGAATAAAGTGTAGTGACTGTGTATTTCGTGGGCGAAGACGCGGCAGCCAATGGCGCACGACAGCAGCGTCCCCTCACCCCCCCCTCCCCCCCCCCCCCCCCCCCACACACACACACACGGCCGCGGGTTGAGTGACCGCATTTTTTTTCGAGGTGTTATTTTGGAGGGAAAGCGATCCATCAATCGACTAACAACCGGGTTCCTACTGACAGAGCTGTGTGTGTGGAGTAGGGAAACTTGCCCAACGTTTCACCCCCCCCCCCCCCACCCACCCCACCCCACCCCCCTAACCCCCCCACCCCACAGCCCCGGGAATCAAACCCAGATCCTCTCGCTTGCGAGGCGAGCGCTCCAACCACCAGGCGATAGGACTCCAGTGTGGATTCCATAAGTATGTGGAGATCTCAGTTGTTTTGTTTCAGGACTTTGGGCCAAAGATAATTGCTTTAGCAATGCAAGAGCGCCTCCTGCAGGAGGCAGAGCAACACTGCAAACCAGGTGCAGCTCAAGCAGGAGCCCCAAACCACCAATAGGATGGAGAACTCCAGGGCATATTTTTAGGGGTGTCTGACATACGTGGAAACAATGTCCATCACCATGGCCAAGAGTACCCAAACCAGGCTGGGAATTCCGTGCATCCCACCTCCGCGTGGAAATTCCAGAGATAGCTCCAGGCCATTAATACAGCAGCTGGAGGTAATAATAATAATAATAATACTAAGAGAAATTCCCTTCTGATTTCAAGTCGTGCCATTGAATACATTAATGTTCACCTGAACAGGCAAACAGGAACAGGACCTTGGTTTGACACCGCGACTGGGACACTGCCGCGAGCAATTGGCTGCCGCGTTTCGCCCGCAAAATACACAGTCCGCTCGACAGTATATTCTGCGAGAGCTCTGAGACGTCGTAAGGCGCTACATCACATGCAAGGATTATTATTAATCAAACAGGTAAAGTCATGGTGTTAAAGCAATGTCCAGTCTTGCTTGTTCAAGCCGAACATTTTTCTTCTTATTATTTTTCCAGCGATGCCATGGAATTTTTAACATACGCTGGAGCGGACATGTTTAACACGTCTCTCAAGGTCTAGTGAGCGCGGGTGTTTAATGTGGGAAATGTCCTAACAAAACACAGAGCCGCGGGGAGCAAGGCAGAGCTAATAGTTTTCCAGCTCAGACAGAATGTGTACTGCACACGCTGAAATCTGGATCTAAGTGCAGGTCATGAAAACAGTAGTCACAGGGGTCACTGGCAATTTCCTGTTCGCTTTCACTAGCCCCAGTGTCAACAGCAAGGCAGATGTACTGAGAGCGGGAACATATGGGAGGTCCTAATGAATTCAATGCTCTCGCTCAGAAGCTGACTGCAAGCTACGTTAAAGGCTATGAAAATCAGATCCAGAATAAGCTCAGCCGTTTAGGGATCAAGATTTCCGCAGATTCTTCTCTCAGGGCAGTACTGAAATGAACAGCGGCAGTGGGTGTTTGGAAGAGATGCAGCACGTGTTTTCTGCGCAGCAGTCTCCCGCAAACAACCGTGGACCGAGCGAGCAATTTTTATTTATTTGGGAAACTGTAGCACCGTGGGATCCTGAGCTTATGTTCTTATGTGCACCTGAACAGGCAGGTGGGACCTCGGTTTTAACGTCTCACCCGAAAGACGGGAAGTTGTTTACCTGAGGTCCCTCTCTGTTTTCTTTGCGGCGATTTTAAAGGATTTTAAAGTCACTGCGCTTTGCAGTATATCCTGTGAAGCGCTTTGAGACGTCTTGATAAGGCGCTGCATCAAATGCGAGAATTATTAATATTATTGATTAAATGCTACACCACCAACAACAACGTCATGTGGGGTAGCGTCCCGGAGAGCTTGAAGGTGGCGGGGTCTGTCCCCCGAGCCAGGGGTAGAGGGAGGGGGGGGGGGGGGTGACCTTAAGCACCATCAAACGGGAAGGTTTTTTTTAAGTGGGATTTGAAAGTGGGGAGGGAGGGGGGCGAGGCGGACGGATTGAGGGAGAGAGTTCCAGAGTTTCAGGGCGAGGAATATCTGGTCACGCGAGTAAGGAGCCGAAAATCAGCAGAGACACAGACACACACACAGCACATCCGCACTGCGATTCTCTGGTGAGACGAGTCAAGGAACTCCGAGGCTTTGGAAGCAGTCAGCTCGGGCGCAAATTACTGCGTCTAAAAAGGGACAGCAAGTCATGACGGTGGCTGCGACTGTTCCTGTTCACAAAACAAAACTGTTATTCACCTCCCCACAGCGGTTCCCTCGGCAACACCCGACAACAAACCTTTTCACTGCCATAGTTATACAGGGCGTCCAAGAAACTCAATGAAGGCAAACTGCAGAACTATGTGCAGCTGTGTCTGTGCTGGGGCTCGCTCCCCCACCGGAGCTCTCTAACTCTGACCCCATTCCCTGCTCTCTCTCTCTCCCCACCGTGTCTGTGCTGGGGCTCGATCCCCCACCGGAGCTCTCTAACTCTCTCTCTCTCTCCCCACCGTGTCTGTGCTGGGGCTCGCTCCCCCACCGGAGCTCTCTAACTCTAACCCCATTCCCTGCTCTCTCTCTCTCCCCACCGTGTCTGTGCTGGGGCTCGCTCCCCCACCGGAGCTCTCTAACTCTAACCCCATTCCCTGCTCTCTCTCTCTCTCTCTCTCTCCCCACCGTGTCTGCGCTGGGGCTCGCTCCCCCACTGGAGCTCCTTAGATAATAATCCTTCCATTCCCAAATCTGTTACTCTTCGTGAAGGGCGCAATATAAATGCAACGTGTGGCTGTGGGTAAAATGCAGATTATAGTTACTACACTCTACACAATAGTCCCTACTCTACAGTAATCCCTGTGAATTGCTTCGATAATAGAATGGGAATAAATCCACCAACACCTTAAACACATTCCATTTCAGGTAAGATACAGTGCCAACTCTCGCCCATCCTCCCTCCCTCGCTCGCCTCATCATAACTGGGAGAACAGCCAGAGGCGCAGAATTAGCCAAGCTTTTAAACCCACCTGCCCTGCCCCTAACCAACTTCATAGCTACAATCTGGCCGGTCACCTTAAATAAACGCTGAGTTTCATTAGCACGGGAGCTTAGTGTGGGAGAAAGCAAATGCCGAGGCTGGTAATTTATTGCGGTCGTTTAGAATAAGCTGTCAAAGTGATTTAAAAGGCGACTGTGGTTTGAGGTTTCTTAATAATTACAAATATGTCACATTTGAAAATTTCCGTTCTGTAAAACGTCCATTGAAACTGCCTGTTTACCCAACTCCTCCCCTCCACAGGCTGCAGATAATCCAGAACTCCGCAGCCCGTGTCTCTCCCGCACCAAACTCCATGACCCCATCTCCCCCACTCTCGCCCGACTCCATTGGCTCCCTATCCTTCAGAGGATCCAGTTCAAGATCCTGGTCCTCACCTACAAAGCCCTCCATGGCCTCGCCCCACCCTACCTCTGAGACCAACCCGCCCGTTCCCTCCGCTCAGCCGGCTCCACCTGCCCCACCATTGGCGGGAGAGCCTTCAGCCAATTTGCCCTCCAGCCTCTGGAATTCCATCCCTCAGTCAGTCCGCCTCGCTCGCCCCCTCCCTCCTTTGCCTCTTTCAAGTCCCGCCTCAAGACCCTCCTCTTCGTCCATGCCATCGGCCAACCCCTTCCCCTCCCTTCTCCCCCCTGACCCCAGCTCGGGTCTGAAATGCTGTACACTGTCTAGGGCCTTGGGACGTCCTCCCGACATGAAAGGCGCTGTACAAATGTAATCTTCTTGTTGTTGTAAGGATGGTGAAGCAGATTCGATCATGGCTTTCAAAATAGATAGGTACTTACAATAGATAGGTACTTAAAATTTCTCCAAACTGCTCGCACAGCCACTAGATACCTGAAAACCATCTCCTCCTCCAAATTGTGCGACTCAACCTTTAACGTCCACCCGAAGACAGACAGACAAGAGCTGTGTTTAATGTCTCGCTTAACGGAGGGAGCTGAGATGGGCCTCTACAACAGGAATTTGGTGAGAGTGGGAAATCAGTGCAGAGAGGGTTAAGGAGGTGCCTGTGGGGAGAACGTCCCATGCAAACATGTTGTCTCATCTGAAACACAGCTGACCCCCAGTACTGCACTGGTGTTAGCCTGGACTTGAGCTCAGGCGAGAGTGCGAGGGACTGAGTCCGGCTGATACCAAGTGCAAGTTTATCCATATCACCTGTTGACTTGCGGGAGATCAAGACAGCAGCATTGCCCTCTCTCCTCACAATAAAACCGAGTTCACTTTACTGCAATACAGGTAAGGCAGCTGCTGATCTCGCTCGGTGAAGCTAAACATGTGTTTTTTTGGGTCAGTCTGACATGAGGAAAGCTATCGCTCTGTATTACACCGGACAGGAACCACCATTTTCTTGCTACTGAAGCAGCACTTAGAAAGCTTCACTTTGGCGGAAAGGCTTGAGGCAATTCACAAGGAAGATATAGATCATTGAGAGTGTGTGTCTGTGTACGTGTGTGTGTGTGTGTGCCTGTGTTCGTGTGTATCTGTTTGTGTGTTCGTGTGCGCGTGTGAAGTGTTGAATTGAGATCGTTAACCAAAGACGGGGTCAAGGTGAGCTTTTTGAGGCAGGGTAAGGAGAGGAGGTGAAGGAGACGGCAACACAAAGAGCATCCCCTCCGGCACTCTGTGTGTGTGTGTCAATCTGTGTGGTTCTAGGTTAGGTAATGCTGCAATGGAATCATTCCTGGCTCACAATCAATCCAGAGATCACTCCGGCATCACAACATACAACAATGCTTGCATTTGATATTGTGCCTACAGCCGGCGAAGTCTCAACATGCAGCAGCCACTGTGTATTTACAGGCAAGCGTGGCAGCCAATTTGCGCGCAGCTATGTCCCCACAAACAGCCTTGACGTAACCACCACATTATCTGGATTGTTGGCCCGTGAGCTCATCTCTTTTCCCATAGCGACGCTGGATGTTTGACATCCACCTGAACAGGCAGACAATGGTCTTGGTTTAGCATCTCATGCCGAAGGGTGGCACCTCCGACAATGCGTTGTTTCCCCCACGTACTGAGCTGGGGCGACAGCCAAGAATGCAAACCCAACGTGCCGACGTAGGACTTGTAGCTCAGTGGTTAGAGCGCTCGCCTCGCAAGCGAGAGGACCCGGGTTTGATTCGCAGGCAGGGGGCGAAACCTTAGGGGCAAGTTTCCTTACTCCACGCACCTCTGTTTACTTAGCAGTAAGTAGGAACCCAGTTGTTAAGTCGATCGGCGGATCGCTTTTCTGGGGATGATAATCCCTCACCCCCCACCAAAAAATGATTGGGTCACTGAATCCACGACTGTTTGTGGGACGCTGCTGTGCATCATCATGCGCTGCTGCGTCTCGCCCACAAAATACACAGTCACTACACTTTACAGTATATTCTGTGAAGTGCTTTGAGACGTCTGAACGATGTGATAAGGCGCTGTATAATAATACAGGACTTGCATTTGATACAGCGCCTTATCACGTCATTCAGATATCCCCAAGCGCTTCACAGGATATACTGTTAAGCGGATTGACGCGTCTGATGCAAGGTTTAGTATTATTATTAGCCGAGATTGTGAGCCCAAAGTCCCGATGTGGATCTTGAATCTGTATCCGAGAACCCTGGCTGAGGCTGCTCAGAAATGGGCACTTATCACAGCACAAAGCCATTCAGGCCCCAGACAAGTCGCCTTTTGTGTGTTAGGCCAAGCAACAGTGTATTCTGCTCCTGCTAAACGTCTGCCAGGATGGGAACAAACAATCTTGCTATATATTCCCCCCACATCATGCGTCTATCTAACCAGCTGGCTGTATACTGGGGAACTCACCGTTTTTCCTTCCTATTGAGCAACAGCTCTGATAAGAGAGAAATGAACGCAAAGCCTTCAATCTGAAACAAGAACTTGGATTCAGGCAGATCCGATAATAATAATAATCCTTGCAGTTGATATTAGCACCTTACCAGGTCTCCAAGACCTTCACAGAATACGCTGAAAAGCGAATTGACTGCATATTTTGTGGGAGAAACGCGGCAGCCAATTGCGCACGGCAGTGGCCCAAACGTGACATTTTTAATTACCGTGAAAATACGCTTCTGAGCTACGACTCAGCCCCCCAAATTCCTTTGAGTCATAGCCTTAAGACCTCCAGTTTAGAATACTTAACTGTGCAGAGATTAGGAGAACTTTGAAATTCACCACTTTAAGTTTTAAGGTAAAATGCTCTTAGACAAGCAGCGAGAGGGATGTTAGGGGTTTGGTAGATTGAGTGGAGAGGGAAAGATTTGTTGAACAATACCCAGTTGTACATAGAAATTGGAGGTCACTCAGGCTGTCAAGCTTAGGCTTGGGTGAGTTCTTTGCATTGGAGCCATACACTATCATCTCAATTCCCTGGAGTCTCATCAAACGGTATGTGGTAATTGTATGGTTAACTCTTCACATCCTCCGCCAGTTAATTTGAATTAAGAACATAAGAATTTGCTGGATGAAAGACCAAGGTCCACCCAGTTTGCCTTCCACCATCCTGGCAGTCACATGAACATGTCGTGTCCTAAACTATAGACTGCGCGAGATATTATTTCCTAAAATAAATCGATCCAATTTGCTTTTTGAACACTTTCTGCTTCCACTGGCTGACCGTCTCTGTTCTAACCGTTGCTGTGCAGTAATTCAGGCCAAAAGGGGTTGAACAATTCCCCTGAGCGGGTGGGTGGTCGCGGGGGGGAGGAGTGGGGTTGGGGGGAGAATGTCTTAACACAAGCCACCAACATAAAATTCAGTATTAGAAAAAAAGAGAATTCATTCACAAAAGTATTTGTCATCGATACAGTGCTGTGCACTCAAACAGTACAACAGGCTTCGCGTTTTACACACAAAACCGAGCCACCCCCGTCCCCACACGGCTGAACGGGCTGATTGATCAGTGCGATACGCAAACAACGTGCCCACATCTCGCAACAAACGGCTGAACAGCACAGCTCCGAGAGAGGTGCGTTTACATCAAAGAGTATCTTTAATGGTCCCAAATATACTTAAACAACTAGGTAGGTGTACACTCAAGAGAGAGAGAGAGCGAGAGAGAGCAAGAGAGAATGAATGAATGAAAGAAAATGCAAAGGTATGGACACAAGAAATGATCACGTCTAGAATTCCACTCAATTTTGTAATTCCTGGCCGCAAGGGAGGGTTTCCGAAAAAAAAAAGAAGTTGCAGTTTTACAGGGCAAAGATTAAAAAGAGAACGGTTTCCTCGCAGGAATCCCCCCCCCCCCCCACTCACTCTCCTCCCCAGCCCCTACTGAGGTGCAGTTAAAACCTTTCTCCCTCCCCCCGCCCCCCCCCCCACTCCCCATTTTAGTTCCCGTTGCGATAAAAGTTTCCTGAAAGTACGATGCGAAGGCAGGTCTTCTGAACAACAAATGGGGAAAAGAAAACACCAAAGACTGCTGGCGTATTTCCGGGCAGGAATTCCCACCGGAGAGGATCGGAGCAGATATCGGCCAGGGTTCCTGTGGACAATTGTCCCCCACCCCCCCCAACGATTGGCCTGGAAAGCTGAGTCCCGCAAGCTTCACTGTACTCGAGAACGCTCCACCCTCACTTAGCTGCAGTTTTTTTTTAATATAGATCTTCCTTCCCTGAGAAAGGGGTAGAGTGAGGTCAAAGCCTGGATATCACTTGGGTGTCAGCGAGTTCCAATCCGCTTCCTCTTCAGACCAGAGGAATTTTTCCCTCCTCATATTTTGTTTTTCCTACTTCAGTTGTATTGGCACTTGATCAGCAGAATTCCACACGAACGTACGTTCTCCCTGCGCAAAGCAACAGCTTGGGACACCACCGTAAGTTCAGGTGGTCTTAAGCAAGTCTGTTGGGAGATCGCAGGGTTAAGGCCGAGGGGAGAGATGGTGGTGGTGGTGGTAGTGGGGGTGTTGACGGGAAGGGTTGGGGTCTTTATTAAGACCCGAGCCTGGATTTCAAAGGTGTTGATTGTTCTTTCTCGTCCCTCTCTTCATCTTCCTCCTCCTCCTCCTCCTCCTCTTCCTCGTCATCATCGTCGTCTGGATAATCTACAAGGCCGATGATACCTCCCTGTGAGAGAGACCACAGATTGTGAGAAGGGAACACTGAGTGTACATTACCTCTGTCCATCTCAGCACAATTCCGATGCCACCATTATTTTGTCATTGTCACAAGTGATGCCAAAGAGGGGTTTTGAGAATATTAATAATTATCCTTGCATTTGATACAGCGCCTTATCACGCTGAGGCATCTCAAAGCGCTTCAGAGAATATACGGTAAAGTGGATGACTTGCATATTTTGTGGGTGAAATGCAACAGCCATTTGCGCACAGCAGTGTATCATAAATAGTCGTGGATTGAGTGACACAATTTTTATTTATTTTTTTGGAGGGATTACCACCCCTAGAAAGCGACTAACAACCGGGTTCCTACTTACTGCTGGGTAAACAGAGGCGTGTGGAGTAAGGAAATTTGGCTAATGTTCCGCTGGCTGGGAATTGAACCCAGGTCCGCTCGCTTGCGAGTCGAGGGCTCTAACCACTATGCTTCAGGACTCCACATTCAATGCTACAAGCTTGCTGAGCGCGTGAGCAACAAGCGATCACAAGCCAGTGGGAATAGGTCCCAGGATATGAGGAAAGTCATGGCAAAGCGTTCGGGTACCTTGGTAGTAATAGCTGGCGTGTGAGGTGTGCTTTTGGCTATTGTTCCGGGTGAGCTGGGAGGTGCTGGAGCCCCCAGTAAGTTCCCGGAGGCTAACTGGCGGCTGAGACTGGATTTGCCGCCTCCACCGCTGGCACCGGTAAAAGACAGCTTGAAGCTGGGGCTCTGTCTGCCTGTCAGCGGGCTCTTCGTCAAGACCTCCTTGTCATCCCCGTCCTTCACTGGAGGACAAAGCCAAAGAATGACTTGAAATCTTCCAACATGTTTCACTGGCAGATTAACTCATAACGTGTAAAAACTGACCATCGTAATAGCTAGCGCTTTACCAGCATCAAAACATCTCAAAAACATTTCACAACTTTAGAAAAAAAATTCAGCCAGACATTAACACGAGCTGAACGAGTGATCGATCGGGAGGATTGTTGGATTAACGTCCATCTTTCAAAGCCCTCCATGGCCTTGCTCCTCCCTACTTCTGCTAATGCCATATTGTCCTATCTGCTCCCTCCGCTCAGCACGCTCCGGCCTGCTACACGTCCCCCGCCCAGCCCACCATTGGCAGTCGGGCCTTCAGCCTCTCTGCCCACAAACTTTGGAGTTCCATCCCACAGGCTACTCCCCTCGCTGCCTCCCATGCCTCCTTCAAGACCTTCCTCTTCGACCGCGCTTTTGGTCACCTTCCCTACTCCCACCCTCCCTGTCCTCCAATCCTCCTGATCCCAACCCCCAGCTCGGGTCCAAATCCCTGACTGTCCAGCGCCTTAGGACGTCCTCATGACGTAAGCAGCACTGTGTAAATGTCATGGGTTGTTGCTGAACGTGTTGTCACTTGAACAACAGCATCTCCAACACTCTCCCCCAGTATTACACTGGAGTGCCAGTCAAGACTAGAAACTCAGATCCCAACACAGAGCTTGAACCCAGTTTTGTGACCACGGCTAATAGAGCTGTCAACTGAGCCAAACCAACACACGGTAATATTGCCTGTAAGAAATCCAAGGTAACCTAGCAACATAGTGCCTCTTCACGTCGAGGGGATGTCTCAAAGAGTTGAACGCTGTCGCCTGGGCACCCGCACTGAGGGTGGGAGCCGAAGGGGGTAGGTAGGGAGGGGAGAGATGAGTGAAAGCGCGGTCAAAGAGGGACGTCTTGAGGGAGCGAGTCGCTTGAAGGAAGTGCGGGAGATGCGAAAAGAAAAGCAAAAATGTTCTGCAAGACCCTGAACCAGAATAATAATCCTTGTTATTATTAGAATGAGCAGATGGTGTCAGAACGCTCTCGGTGCAAGCGGTACGTTATTTGGCTAAGGAATCGTTTAAGGAAGGGTATGAGAGAAATAACATTCCTTGCATGTGACCCAGCACCAGAAATATCGAAACGTTTCCAAGCAATTCACAGGTGGTTGCTGTAAAGTGTAGTAATCGTAGGGGAATGCAGCAATGCACTGTTATGTCCTGCAACTAACCATGAAGTGACTGGAAAATCGTCGGCAAGGCCTGGCCTGGCCAACGATTTTCCAGTTACTTCCCTTCTCTTTTCGAAATGTGTCGAGGGGCCTATAACATCCACCTGAGCAGGCAGACGGGACCTCAGTTTAATCTCATCTGAATGAAAGTAATAACAATCCTTGCATTTGAAACAGCACCTTATCACGTGCTCGACATCTCAAAGCGCTTCACTGTAATGCGAAGCGACTGTATATTTCATGGGCGAAACGCGGCAGCCAATCGCACACAGCAGTGTCCCACAAACAGTTGTGGATTGAAGGACCAAATTATTATTGTTGCAATATTTTTCTGAAGGGATTATTACCCCATGAAAAGGGATCCGCCAATCGACTAAGAACCAGGTTCCGTCTTACTGGTAGGTAAACAGAGGCGTGTGGAGTAAGGAAACTCGCCTAAGGTTTTCGCCCCCTGCCCGGGAATCGAATCCGGGTCCTCTCGCTTGCGAGGCGAGCGCTCAGCTACCGCTCCATCAGCATGGGAATGGAGCAATGTTATTTTGGGGCTAGACAGATGGGCCGTGCGCTCCTATAAAACGCCAACCGTGGCTGGGTGAACGCAAAGTGGATTCTAATCTCGAGGTGTGCATTTGCCTGCACAACACAAAAACAAGAGAGGCTCGTTCGCACTGAATGAAAGAGCGGCGTGAGCTCACCCAGTGTGTACACAGCATTTCTCAAACCCGACAGCCACTCGCTTCGTTACATATCCCTGCAGTTGAGTCATGGGGTGGGGAGTTGGTGGGGGGATTAGGGGTAGGGTGGAGGGGAGGGGAGGGGGAGGGAGGGGAGAAGAAAAAAAAGAATTTACAATTAAATCGGCAGATTCCATACATTTTTTCCTTTCCATAAATTTGCCAAAATGGTCCACGATTTCGCCGTCGGTTTTTGACCTGTCGGCCGGCAGCACCGCCTCGCCGTCCTCCAGCTCCTCCTCGTCCGTGTTGAACCACATCTCTTCCTCCTCCTCCAGGGTGCGGGCGTCGCGCCGGTAACGGTTGTTCCGCAGGATCGAGCGCATGCTGCGGACCACAGAGCAGACGAGAGCCGTGTTAGAACCTAAACACGAAGCTGTGTGCGCTTTCACCTGTGCCCTAGGCCGGTAATAATAATAATAATAATTCTGGCGTTTGATATCGCGCCTTATCACGTCTTCGAGACGTCTCAGAGCGCTTCACTGGATACACTGTAATTGACTGTATATCTTGTGGGCAAACGCAGCAGCCAATTGTGCACAACAGCGTCCCACAAACAGCCGCAGATTGAGCGACTACATTGTTTATTTATTTTGAAGGGTTATTAACCCAGAAAGAGAACTGCCAATCGACTGACAACCAGGTTCCTTAAATCGCTCTGGGACGCATCCCAACATGAAGGGCACTATGTAAATGCAAGTTGTTGCTGCTGCTAAGTAAGCAGAGACGTGTGTGTGGAGTAAGGAAACTCGCCTAAGGTTTTGCCCTGCCCGGGAATCGAACTCCTCCCGCTTGCGAGGCGAGTGCACTAGCCGGTACGCTATGGGACTCCAAATTATTAATTAAACTTATTAATTTATAATGATGATAAACATTGGCTCTTTCTAGACGAGTGCTTTGCAGAATTGGGTAAGCAGTGTGTAGTACGTTCCTCGGGGTGGGTGGCGGGGGAGAGAAGAGAGGGACAAAGACTGCCCATTCCACCCTCATGGAAATTTCCATGTGTGAATCACAAAGTCACATATATGTGTGGAACTCAATCTCGTTTGGATGCTCTTAAGCACCGTGATGGGTTTCCACGAGTCAGACACACTCGGCTGGTCNAAAAAAAAATCCTGGCACCCATTTGCTAGAGCGCCGGTTAAGGTGGCCTGTTCAGGTGGATGTTAGAACGTTAAACTTCTCAAAGCGCTTCCCAGGTAATTGCTGTCACGTGCGCGTGGTGCCTGTGTACTTGTGTAAACAGCAATGTCTCTGTCGTGTAAAACAGTCATGACAGAGCTGCCTTGCAACAGGTGGCAGGGTCTGCTACTGTTAAGTGCTCCGAGATGCTGAACCCATCTATATCGATGCAAGTTGTTGTTCTTCAAGTGGCTCTTCACAGGAGCAGGAGGTTCAGTCATTGTAACGGAGCACTGGATAAGGGAAGTTGCAAGAGCACTGGCTGATTTTTCAAAGGGGAGACATCGAAGCCCAACTGCAGCTCTGGTGGAGGAATTGCTCCGCTTGGCTGAGGGCTGCCTTTCCCTACAAGGCCGTCGGAGGGAGCTCTTCAGCTCCTGGGGCAAAACTGATCGAGATGCGTTGGAACAGATGGTGAACACTGGGATCAAGCTTGGGAGCCCAGTCCAGTTAGAAACTCCCAAGCTTGATCCTAGTGTTCACTCTCTGTTCCAATGCAGCTCTATCAGTCTTATTCCCAGGCCAGCAGATACATCATCTCCTGGGCCAGAGTGGGGCTTGATACAATGCTGGGCTTGTCGATGCTCATCTCAGTCCTACAAGGCTCTGCAAGGCAGCCAGTGTGGCCCAGTGAGCTGTGGCTGCTTTCAGGAGAAAGAATTAGGGCCAGGGGGAGGCGAGAGGGTGCAGCGAATATACAGCAAAGGATAGATAAATAAAGAACTGGGCAAACCGAGGACAACACAACTCACCAATGCAGGTTAGCACCAATGTGCGACACCCAGAGCTACTAACAGCCTTTATCCGTAAGGCAGTCATGTGCTCAGGTTACCATAAACTAAACTGGTGACTGTCTGGTCTGGATTCTGTGGCTCAAGCCTGTACTTTTAGCAGCGCTGGGAGAAGCGTGCATTATTGGAATTGTGGTCCTTCGGATGAGATGTTAATCCGTGGTCCCGTCTGCCTGTTCAGATGGAACGTTAAAGATCCCACGGTGCTATTCGAAAAGAGAAGGGAGTTTCTCTCTCCTGGAGTCCTGGCTAACAAATCCTCCAAATAAAATTGGATACTGATTCCAGGGTTGTTTCACGGCATGTAACTGGCTGCCGTGTTTGCCCACAATACACAATCACCTCACTTAACATTACACCCTGCGATGGGTTTTGAGACGTGAAAGGGGCTGTGCCTATGGTAAGATTACTATTTACCCACTATAGGGGGGAAAACATGGACCATTGAAATTATTTTAAATGTAGCATCCCCACTCACTGACCTGTCGAGCTTTGAATGATCCTGCCGTTCCCTTTGCTGCTCGTAACGCAGTTTCAGACCTTTGAACGTCTGCACATAATCCACCTCTTCAAGTGCTTTCCAGTAGTTTTCGATGACATGAGCCGTTAGAGATTTGATGTCTTCCTGTGTGAAACAGAGGATAATATTTCAGCCATAAAGCCCCACAGCACAACGCCAGATAAATCACTGATCCCCTTACCTACCCAAGGGATCAGATACAGAAGTGAACATATTTAATCTTATGGATTTAACTACATCAGCGGTTTGATCTGAGCAGCTCAGCGTGGGAGCTATCTGATGCAGGTAAATACTGTATTAAAATTAAAGTATTAAACACTAATGAATTCATAAATTAGATATTAATAAAAGTATTAAAATTAGGTCAGCAGGATGCGCATTCCATTTCAACAATCTATCTTGGGGATTTCCATGTGTAGGTGGTGAGGCATGGAAATCTCAGCTTAGTTTGGATGCTCTTAAGCAACGGTGATGGGTTTCCACACAGCTGCCAAAATCGGTATTAAACACACACAGTTAGAGGGAGACACACACACCCAGTTCGCATTTTTTTGTGCCAGCAAGGTGCTCAACATTGGGGGGAGAAGACAGAAATTTGACCAGAGAAGTCTTTGCAGCTGACCTTGATTCTCTAAACACTGTACCCCTCCCCTGAGGTTTTCAATGGCGGGGGTCAGTGGATAGCAATCAGGTTGAATGTTTCCCCAGCCACAGAAGGATGGAGGCAAATTATGGATGTGGGAGGTGACTGTGTATTTTGTGGGCGAAAACGCGGCAGCCAATTGCGCACACCAGTGTCCCACAAACAGTCGTGGGCTTGTGCTTTAGGGCCTGTGCTTCCACTTAACTCAGCCACACGGAGGCTTACTTACCACTCTGATGAACTCAAACATCTCAATGATGGCGGAGTTGAGCAGGTTGTAGCGGGATCCATTGTTGAGGAACGCCCGGACCACTGGCTCAAACAGAATGGCTTTCATTATGTACCGGTTGTAGAACTCGTCTTTCAACCCCACGATCTTCCTCATGAAGCGAAGTGCACCTACAATCAGACACATCGTCTCACACCCAAGCACAGAGCGTGGGGGGGTGGGGGGGTAGGGGGAGAGAGAGGAAGGTGAAGCTCCCCCCCTAATCCTCATTGGACGATTGGTTCCCCCAAAAGGGTTACTTCCTGACCTTCAAATCATTTCACAATCTCCCCACTCTTCACCTCTCATCTCCTGCTTGCTCCTCAGTCCCTCCATCCCACCATCAGTGGCCAAGACTTCAGCCACTGTGCCCCCTTGCTCTATGTAACCCTCTCACAAAATGTCTTCTTCTCTCCCTGCCTCCAAACACCCAGCACATGGCTCTGACTGTACCCTTTGGCCCAAACTCTCCTTTTCCTCTCCGCATGGTAATTCCCATTGCGTAGCAGAGACGTGCTTCTAGACGGTTACCCAAGTGAAAGGCGTAGCTGCACAAGTGCAAGTCACTGTACTCAGTTAACAACAACGAATTACATTTTTATAGCACCTTTCACTTCGGGAGGGCGCTGGACAATCAGGGATTTGGACTAGAGCAGACGTTGGAATCAGGAGGGGTGGAGGGCAGGGAGGGGAGGGAATAGGAGGCTGGCCAAAGGCACGGTTGAAGAGGAGTCTTGAAATGTGCCTTGAAGGGGGCAAGGGAGGGAGCGAAGAGAACGTGGGATGGAGTTCCAAAGGGTGGGGGCAGAGAGGCTGAAGGCCTGACCGCCGATAGAGGGAGTGGGCCGGGCGGGGGAACGTGGAGCCTGCAGAGCGGAAGGTCGGGTGTATACGGAGTTAGCAGGTCACAGGGGTAGGGAGGAGCAAGGCGGTGGAGGGCGTTGAATGCGAGGACTTTGAACTCTGAGGACGGGGCCAGTGGAGCTGGGCGAGGGCGTGGGTGACAGAGGAGTAACACGTGACTTACATAATGCCACAAAAGCGTGCTTGGAGCCCATGAGGACAAGCACCCGCCGCAGAACGTCCTTGTTTATGATGTAGTTCTTGATATGGTAGGTGTGATGCTCCACACAGAACGTCAGCAACTCCAAAATTAAGGCCAAGAGCTGTGCCGTCTGGAAATCATCTGCCACAGGAAAAAAGGAACCGGGTCAGAACAACTCACCTCTAGCAACTTTGCTCTTGACCTGCCACATGAGAGAACTTGCATTGACAGAGCATCGCCACGTCGCAAAGCTAGACAGTAGTTGAGCGTGTGTACAAATCTCTTCACACCCTGGCACCTCCCTATACCTCTACTGGCTCCGGCCTCCTTCTTGTCCCTTGTCACCCTCCGTTCCACCATCGGCGGCCGCACTTTCAGCCACTACATCTCGAAACTCTGGAACTCTTTTTCTATCTTTCCGCTTGCCCCTTCCTTCCCAAAGTTCAGGTCGTGCCTTTAGACTTTCCTCTTGACCGTGGTTATGGTCACCTCCCCCCTTCCCCGATTCCATTTTAAAACCGTCCCTGGCAAGTCTGCTCGTATTCCGATAACCCTCTGGGAAATAAGCATCCCAACGTCTCAGTTTCAAGCTCCCAGTTACACTCTTATATTCTAGATCTGAGACACAAAGGTCATTTCAGTCTCCATATTCAGAGAAGTGGCCTTCTCTAAATCACAAACATTTAAACCTTGTGACAAACCAATGAGTATCCCTACTGTGGAAGACTTAAGACTTCAACATTATGGGTCCTCATCCTCTGCCCCATTTGCACCTCTTTCCTCTCTCCCTCAAAATACAGGTGCTATAATAATAATTCTTGTATTCGATACAGCGCCTTATCTATCATTGAGACGTCTCAAAGCGCTTCACAGAATACACTGTAAAGTGAATTGACTATATATTTTGTGGGTGAAACGCGACAGCCAATTGCACACAGCAGTGTCCCACAAACAGTCGTGGATTGAGTTACCAAATTATTATATATTTTGTTGAAGGGATTATTACCCTTGGCAAAGTGATCCACCAATTGTCTAGCAACCGGACAACTGGGTTCCAACATACTGCTAGGTAAACAGAGGCGTATGGAGTAAGGAAACTTTCCCAAGGTTTCGCTCTGCTTGGGAATCGAACCCAGGTCCTCTCGCTTGTGAGGTGAATGCTCTAACCAATATGCTACAGGACTCCATTCCCACCCACTTTCTTTTCTCCCTCAAAATACAGTGCTCTAGCTGCACATCCCCCCCACTCTCTCAGCTCACTCAGAGCCATTAAGAACCACCCTGGGGCTTCTTACAATCTACTCCACACTCGGCCAAGGATAAATGGATGCAACACGCAGAGCAAACTGGGTCCGATGCACCAGTCAATGGCACGTAATAAGCCGGACTCACTAAAGCTTTCAACTTAAAATCAACATGAAAAGAAAGTGGTAAAAATAGGCTTTGACGTAACTTAGCCCCCGAGTGACCCCATCCACACAACAAACGGGGAACAAGGCTGAACAGTGCAAGCCCACTGAACTGCATGCGGCTGCATCAAAGGATATTGCCTCCAGTTGTGGTTCTGTCACAAAGGACGGGCAAAGAGGTTTCAGACTCAAGCGACGGGAAGCATCCGAAAAGACAATGAGCACTTCTCCAGCGTGGAGATCACTCGAGAGGTTAGGATAAAGGAGGCCCTTTGGCCCATTTGATCTCAGAACACCCACCCTCGCATTCCCATCACAGCATCCAGGCGTTTCTTAAATCAGTCCCAATGTCCTGACCTCAACCCCCTTTCCAGCTGCTAATCGCCCACTATGTAAAGAAATACTTCTTGGGTGTCTGTCCTAAACTTGCCCTCCGCATAGCCAGGAACCTGTGTCTCCATTCTGGCTGGGAACTCAAAATTCAATCACAATGTGTTGATAATTAGTCATGACTAGAGCTTGAAAATAAAGCTGTAGGGCAAAACTTTTCATTACACTACATTCCCCCGCAGAATAGTTGACAGAAGTGTTAAGTTATTTTATAATAATACTTGCATTTGATACAGAGCCTTATCACGTCAGTGAGACATCTCAAAGTGCCTCACAGAATATACGACAAAGTCAATGAATTGATTGTATATTTTGTGGGCGAAACGCGGTATCCAATTGCGCACAGCAGTGTCACACAAACAATCGTTGATTAAGTGACCAAATTATTATTATTATTTATTGAACGGAGTAAGGAAACTTGCCCAACATTTCGCCCTATCTGGGAATCGAACCCTGGTCCTCTAATCACTTGTGAGGGGCGTGCTCTAACCACTGAGCTACAGGACTCCATTAGAAACAGGACTTTTACAACCGGCACGCTAGAGGTTGAAGGTAGACTGAAGGTGGTACTGACCATTGTACGGAGATGGCTCACCTTTGCTGGGCTTCTCCTCAGTGGTGTTCGCCAGCAAGGGGGCAGTGAGGACATGCATGCAGTGCTTGTAAAAGAAACTCAGGAATTCAGTCTTCTCGTTTTTCTGCCCAAAAAAAGAGTAAAAGGCATCCCGGTTTAGTTTCCCTTAATAATTCCCTTGACCCTCCTTCCCCATCTTCAAGTCACACCTGAAGATCTCCCTCTTCCACCGTGCTTACGATCACCTCCCCCTCCCCTGCTCAGCGTCATGATCCGCCACTGTCAAGCGCTCTGGGACACTACCCTGCCCGAGGGGCGCTATATAAATATTTTCTCCACTTTAACAATAATAATTTGATATCGCTCCTTATTGTGTCGTTGAGACGTCTCAAAGCGCTTCACGTGATATACTGTTAAAAGTACTTATTTACCCAATTCTCTCATAAAACTACAGACTCAACTTTGTCAAACAATTAGAGAGCGAGAGAGAGAGAAAGAGACACAGAGACAGAGCGAGAGAGACACACAGAGAGATAGGCGGACAGAGCGTCCCGAGGTGATTCAGTGGCGGAGTCTGATGACCAGGTTCCTAAAGCTCTGAAATGCAACTTCAATAGAAAGCGTGAGGAACAGTAATTCATGTCACAAGCTACAAGCTTGAGAGAAACAGTCGGCTTTCAGTACCAGCCTGAGGGAATCGAATCTAACCTCACGCTCCACAGATCCGCTGGGATAAAAGATCCTTTGCTTTGCTTACCCAGCAGAGGGAGCCCTGTGCATTTATGATTATCGCATGGAAAAATCAGGCGAGGTGAGGCACTGTGTCAGGGCAAACACCACCCTAACAGGCTCTTTCTTTCTTCAGTGGGTCCCAGGAGAGCATGTCAGGCTTCACAGCTGACGAGAAGCTGCAGAAATCCCCCTCATGTCGTCCAGGCTAGTTAAACATCAGCTGTCGTCAATGCCGGTTCTATTAAAAACGGCTTGTGGCTTGAAATAACACTCGGAACCGAGTGACTGGAAAATCTGCCTCACGAGGTGAGCTGAGCCGGGTAGATGTTTGTTAGGTCAAGGTATCAAGGGATGTGGGGCAAGGGCGGGTAATTGGAGTTGAGGTACCGATCTGCCATGATCTTATAGAATGGTGGATCGGGCTTGAGGGGCTGAATGGCCTCCTCCTGTTCCTATGTTCCTATGCGGTGTGCCCCAGTCACACAGGAATCTTGGCTGTTTGTGAACAGAATTAACAGAACAACCCTAATTGACAAGCAGTGGGAGTCTGAATTATACCATTGCAAACCCAGTTTATTCAAGACTCTGTACAGTCAGGAATCAGGAACATGGTTGCAACACTGAACGATGTGTAGTCTTGCTGTGTGTGTTTAGGAGCAGAGCATTCTGATCAGGCACAGCATGGAATTGGTGCGCTGTTTGCCTGGCCCTGAATGACTGAGAAACGATGGCTTGCTCTGCAGACAAATTTTTACACTCCTGTCCAAACCAGCAGAGAAGCCCAGATCAACACTATATGGAAACAAGCGAGGAAGGATATTTGGCTCGTTTATTCAAATCTAACAGGAAGAATTTCTGAGTTTCAGAAACAGGGAGAATAGCAAAAATAATAATTTGAATTTACACAGAGGCCTTCACACGAGGCTGCACCTCAGAGCGCTTAACAGTGGCGGAGCCCGACTCTGAGCCTGGGGGAGGGAGGAGGTAACCGTAAGCACGGTCGAAGAGGAACGTCTTCAGTCGTTAGCTAGAAGAGAAGGAGGGGGCAAGGCTGAGGATTGAGGGAGAGTGTTCCAGGGCTTCAGGGTATAGTAGCTGAAGGTATGGATGGCCATCGATGGTAGAGCAGAGGAAACGAGGGACTAGGAGGTTGGAGCCGGCCAAATAAGTATTTATGTACTTACACAGCTGACAGCAGGAGCTCGCCTACAAAAGGTTTGAATTGCAAAGAGGCAATAACGTTATTAGCTACAACACACAGAGTCGCAATGAACAGAATTACCTTGCCTCTTGGATCACAACCTTTTCCAAACAGAGAGGTACTTACATTGACGGCAGCCAACATGTTCTCAGGGTCAACTAAAGTGCGAAGCAGCCCCATCAGTTGGACTGCACCACCCAGTTCGGGATCAGTGTCGCAAATCATGTGTTCAATGATGAGATTGATGAGAAGAATATCCTAAGGGAAGAGAAAAATAACGAAGAGCTCTAGGAGTGTCGATCTCTGTAAGGACACTTTTCCCAAGGCAATTGGCAGAGGATAATAAAAAGGTGGTCACTCAATCCACAACCATTTGTGGGACACTACTGTGCACAATTAATTGACTGCTGCATTTTGCTCTCAAAATAGAGTCATCCACTATACAATATATACTGTGAAGCGCTTTGAGACATCTTAACGATGTGATACACATTTTCAATTGCTAAAGTTGTTTGAGTTCAAATCTGCAGCAGGTAATATTTCACAATGACATGCTATTGTCATACAGTTCTCAATGGTGAGTGAGGTTGCAGAAGTCAGTGATGGATGACTAGCTTTCCACCGGCTCTTTCAGCAAAAAAAACCTTAAAAGACTCATATGCAGCGAATGTTAAGCCATCCAAATGCCCAACACTTCACCATAGATTCTTTTTTGTGGTGGGGGGGGGGGGGGCGAAGAGAGAGGAAGTGTGCTGCTTTCAGCCCATTCATTGCGACAACAGTGTCTGCATATTTTCCCTCATTATTTCCAGTGCGACTTAAAAGGAACATAATATGATAATAATCCTTGCATTTTATATAACACCTTATCATGTCGTTGAGACATCTCAAAGCGCTTCACAGAATATACTGCTGTGTATTTTGTGGGTGAAACGCGGCAGCCAATTGTGCACAGCAGCGTCCCACGAACAGCCTCAGATTGAGTGACCATAATTTTTATTTTGAGGCATTATTACTTCAGGAAAGTGATCCGCCAATCGACTAACAACCAGGTTCCTACTTAATGCTAGGCACACAGAGGCGTGTGGAGCAAGGAAACTTGCCTATCTTTTGCCCTGTCCGCCGGGAATCGAACCCTGGCCGAGGCGAGAGCGCTAATCACCATGTTACGGGGACTCCACAATCATTTTCACTGAGACTTCAAAGAAGCATAAGCGACCCCCCCCCCCCGTCCCCCACACAACGGATTCAGAGGGATTACTCACATCATCGTTCTGTTGAGCTTCCTGCATGACAAACTCTCGCACCATGGATGGATTGTACTCGACCAAATAGGAAAATATATCAGTGGCTGCGCTACGCACTTGGAGATCATCCATCCCCTGTCAACCAACAATTCAAATACAAAAAAAACCTATTAAAACGCCATCAACAGACAGCACTGAAAGAGAGCAGCGGGTCAGAGGGGGAGCATGGCCAGTCTCATTACAATAACTTGCAGCGTGCCCGTACATTCTGAAGTGCTTTACAAAGATGCTGTGGATCACCGAGCAGAGCGAGAAAGCGAGGGAAGAGTTCAGGATGTTCACTGAGGGAACAGTCATAGAGATAGTTTTAGATGGAGATGGAGGGAGGGAGAGAGGGAGGCAAGGAGGGAGGCAGGGAGAGCGCAAGGTGAATAGATTTTTGGAGAGATTTTTACGGAAAGCAAAAATCCAGATTCCGTGCAGGTTTGGGCTCTATTGTAACCGGGTAGCAAATCTATTGGGATCATTACATCCAAACTGTAAACGGCTACAGTAATATCCAAGCTTTCACTCACTCTGGCTCTCCCTCCTCCCACACTTCACAATGGTCAGTCAGACCAAGGGGACACCAGAACTATTTGCTAGAACCGTATAATGTTACAGCACAGAATCTCTGGTGGGGGAATCCAGAACAAGAGGGGCATCATCTTAAAATAAGAGCTAAGCCATTTAGGAGTGAAATCAGGAGGCAGTTTTTCACCCAAAGGCTAGTGGAAATCTGGAACTCTCTGCCTCCCCTGTGGATACTGGATCCGTTTGCATTTTCAAGACTGAGGTGGATAGATATTTGTTAGGTCAGCGTATTAAGGGATACGGGGCAATTGGAGCTGAGGTATAGATCAGCCATGATCTTATAGAATGGCAGAACAGGCTCAAGGGGCTCCTCCTGTTCCTATGTTCTTAAGCAGCCTCTCGGCCAGTGTTTCTCACCATGAGCCACGTTGGGTCAATCATTATAATTGATTGAAACGGATGTAATCTTTACTCCTGAGCTGCAGTAAAGCACTGAGGTCAGGGTCACCAGCTGGTGACTGTTCTGGTACCACTCAGCAACATGGCCATTTCAATCGGTGGGTGAGGCAAGTGTTAATGCCAGTAATTGATGCTCTCAAATCATTAATAAACTTACCAGAATGACCTCTAGGGCTGGGAGCACGCCCATATTTGATAATGTCTTGAAGAAAGAATCTCGGTTTTGAGGTTGCAAGGTTTGAGAAAATGCACAAAATTCTTTCAGAAAATTCACCTGAAATTAAAAAAATCACAAAGGGTTTTGATGGGGAAAAACGTGGATCAAAAGAAACCTATAATAATAATAATAATCCTTGCATTTGATATAGCGCTTTTCACGTCGGGAGGACGTCCCAAAGCGCTTCACAGAACACACTGTAAAGTGAATTGACTGTATACTTGTGGGCGAACGCGGCAGCCAATTGCGCACAGCAATGTCCCACAAACAGTCGTAGATTGAAAATGACCAATTTATTATTGTTTTTGGTTTTGGAGGGATTATTATTAGGCTCTGTGTGGAGTAAGGAAACTTGCCCAAGGTATCCCACAAGAATGATATTCCCACTGGGAGGACTGGAAAACGGGAACAGGAGAAGGCTATTCAGCCCACAGACCTGTTCATAGAATCATAGAATATTACAGCACAGAAGGAGGACGCTCGGCCCATCGCCTGTTGTACCAGATTATAAGATATTGGCAGTTGTTTTAATCCCAATGCCCTATACTTCCACAACAACAACAGGTTACGTGTGTATAGTGCCTTTCATGTCAGGAGGTCATCCCAAGGCGCTGGGCAGTCAGGGATTTGGACCCAAGCAGGTCACAATACTTCTACTTCCCAGGTCTCTGCCTCTCTTTTAAACATATCCTGTTTATTCAGCCTGTACAGCTCTCCTGGGCAGAGCATTCCACATCTTCACAACCCTCTGTGTGGAGAAAAGCTTCCTGACCTCAGCTCTAACTACCTTGGTTCTGATTAGAAGGCTTTGCCCTCTAACAGAAAAATCCCACCCACCACCAAACTTGACGAGTGCTTACACTGTTTTAAATAACTCAATCAAATCACCCCTTAACCTCCCTCCCTCCACACTGCACCAGATAAGTGTGTGTCCCTCAAACAGTTGTGGATTGAGTGTTTGTTCTTTTGGGAGGGATTATTATCCCTGGAAAGCGATCCACCAATCGACTAACAATCAGGCTCCTAAATTCAGTAGTCAGTCTTGCATACATTTAGCGCTATTCACACAGGAGGCGTCCTGGAGCGAGGAAATCCAATCCTGTTGCTGCTTTTCCCAACTCTATTAACCGTGAGCATGCGCACAGACACACTTACCAGTTCCTGTCTTTTATCATCGTCTGTGGTATCGTCTGTTAACTGTGCAAAAAGTTCTGTCAGAAACTTTTCATCTTCCTGGAAGATTATATATTAAAAAAAACAAAACGGTGAGAAACAGAGAGAAAACCACTTGTCACCGCCATCACTGTGTATTTTCCCTTTGATATAATAAGTTGTGTTTACACCGCGCTGCTCACAGAGCGCAGACGGAGCATGACGCCGAGCAAGGGGAATGGGCAGGTGATCGTAGGTATGGTCGAAGGGGAAGGCCGGCTGCAAGCTATTAATATCTATTAATCAGCTGTACAGGGTGTCCATTATCCAGTGTTTCTACAGGGTGTTCACAAAGTCCTATTACCCCTATGTTTCTTTTTCTACAGTGCACTGACCAACAACTGAAACATATGGAAGAATGATGATAATAGTATTTAGAAGTACTTAATTGTATTCAGTACGAGTGTTTACTGTATTTAGACATCCAGAGGATCGGTGTGTGTGAGAGGGAGAGTGCGAGTGAGTGAGCGAGAAATGATCTGTCAACAAGTTCGGTGCCACATGGAGTCAGTGAGGAGGTGAAATGTGTCTCTGTTTATTTCAGCTCCTCTGTAGTCTCATATCACTGTTTTGTAACAGAGGGTAACATGACTTTGTGGACACCCTATACGTAGCTCTCCCACCCCCACAACTATTTGATTGTCTGAAGAATTTATTGCACACCCTCAAAATAAACGTATTGGGTGAGCAGAACAGGGGGATTTTCTAAGGAATTATCCAGAATAAATGACTGAATAAAACAACACCTTGCATTCATATAAGCGCCTTTCACATATAATAACACATCAAAGCACTTACAGAGATAGTGTGAACCTCTAAGCAATGTGAGAAGAGAAATAGAGTAGGGGGGGAAGGTAGAGGGAAGCATGGGTATAAGATCAGTTTGCACCCCCTCCTCGTTCAACTATTAATACTGATCTCGCCGTTCCTAGTAAACATAGAAATTAAATTTTAATAAGAACATAGGAACAGGAGTCGGCCATTCAGCCCCTTGAACCTGTTCCGCCATTCTATCAGTTCATGGCTGATCTATACCTCGACGCAATTTACCCGCCTTTGCCCTATACCCCGATAACAAAAATCTGTCGACCTCAGTCTTGAAATTTTCAGCCCACCATGTCTGCACAACTCCAATCTGTTTACTTACGTCTTGTATCATAAAACGTGTCCCACTCTCCAGCTCTCTCCACATCCCTGAATGTTTTTACTGCTCAGGAGCTTGTCTTTTGAATGATTCTACTCATCCGGCCTTTAATAGACAACAAGTCTAGTTCCTCTTCCTCTCTTCCCCCAGTGACTGCAGCACCCGTTTATCAAACAAAATGGCCTTTGCTGTCCCATTGACCCATATTATTAAGCTTTAAGTGTCAGGCTAACTGTGCGGCCGCCTGCCTATAACAATCAGTCAGATGCTGCAGTCCACAAACTACAAACTCTCCCTGGAAAAACACAACCCTGACCTGATTTCCCAACTGCAGTTAATGCCGCACGGAGCACAGTCAAGAGTAATTTATCACGGACAGGTCGTCATAACACATCAACTGCGAAATTCATCCAAGTCAGAAACAGCAGCAACAACTTGCATTTATTTATAGAGCCAAGACATCGTCTCAGAACCCTTAAAGCAAGCCGGATTCTGTTCCCCCTCCCTCCCCCCGTCCCTCGCGCTCTCTTCAGCCCATTTTATTAATAATCATTATAATAAGTATTGGAACATTTTGGCCATACAAAGAGTACCTACGTGATGAGTCGCCTCTCTCTGAGTTAGGTAATGTGTCATTTTGCCCACTTTATCGCCAACTTGCATTTAACGGGTAAATTATGTTACATCAGAACATAATGGTAGCTTTCATTACAATAGGTTTGTCTTCTCACGTCGAGCTAGGAATGGCTTTAAAACTACAGGCGGAGGCGGAGACATGTTTCACATGCGACTGGGAGGATGTGTTACACTAGGTCAACCAGCTGGTGTTGACTTCAACATACATGCATCATCTGCTTACAGAATAATAGAAATAATAGCACAGGTGGTCACCCAGCCCCTCGAGCCTGTGCTGATACAACCCTCAACCACCAGAGCCGTACACTTCCATCTCATACCAGGAATGAGGGACGAGAGTCTCAAGAGGTTGGATTATTCTCCTTAGAGAAGAGAAGGTTGCGGGGAGACTGAATGGAAGTGGTCAAGATTATAAGGGTTTTTTTTGATAAGAGATGGGGAGAGACTGTTTCCTCTGGTGGGTGGGTCGCTAAATTGGCAAAAACAACCAGAGGAGACGAGTTGTTGCGATCTGGAACGCACTGCCTGAAAGGATGGTGGTAGCAGATTTGAAAGGGAATTGGATATCTGCTTAAAAAAGAAAAATGTGCAGCCCTATGGGGTACTTGAAAAAGCAGGGGAGTGGGACTAGTTGGCAGCTCTTTCAAAGAGCCGGCACAGGCACGATGGGCCGAATGGCCTCCTTCTGTGCTGTAAGATTCTACGGCTCATTTCCCTGTTTTATGCGAACCACTGAGATTACATGGAATGACGGGATGGATGATGTGCGAAGGCAATAGGAAACGTAGAGTTATAGGTTAAGAACAGCAGGCAGTTTGTGCATGCTCGTCTTTTCAGGGAGCTTTTATTAAATGAAGCCAACAGGTTAGCGAGTTTGTCACGTTTGTGCCATTTCCATTTTGGCATGGGTCGAATTTGTAGGAAGAATTTCAAATCCCGACTTGGCTTCCACGAATAAAAATAATAATCCTTGCATTTGATCCAGCGCCTTATCACGTCTTCGAGACGTCTCAAAGCGCTTCACAGAATATACTGCAAATTGAACTGATTGTGTACTTTGTGGGCCAAACGCAGTAGCCAATTGCGCACGGCAGCGTCCCCACAAACAGTCGTGGATTGAGTGACCAAATATGTACATAGATTTTTTAAAAACGGATTATTACCCCTGGAAAAGCAACTGGAAATCGACTAATAACCGGGTTCCTGTATTCTGCTAGGTAAACAGAGGCGTGGGGAGTAAGGAACCTTGCCCAATGTTTCGCCCTGCCTGGGAATTGAACCCAGGCAGTCTCGCTTGCGAGGCGAGGGAGCTAACCACTAAGCTCAGGACTCCACAGAATTCAAGAACACAGCTGTTGCTCAACATGACCGATTTGAAAACCCTTTGGAAATGTTTCCAGACCAATTTTTCTTGCAATAAATAAAACAAACACAAGGAGGGATGCATTCCACACCGTCTGAACTTGGAACCTGCTTACAGTCCAGGAATGAGTAAAATGTAACGCATCTCCTGCCAACCCACAACCTTTGGCCAATTCACTCCTTCGCTGTTCAGACAATCAGGCTAATGGATTGACGTCACAGAAGACAACGGTTCGTGATCTTCTGGAAGGAGGCCACAATTTATTTTAAGCTGCTGCAATAAAGCTTCCCGACAAGCTGACAGCAGTGCACACACCCAGCAAAACCCACACGCGCGCACACATCTGTCGTCATAGGGTGGTGTGAACATCAAAGTGCGCCCTGTAGGAAGGCAAGAACTGCAGGCTTAACACAAAGCACCGGGTATTCATTCCTTAAACTCCCTTTGGGTAAAAAAAACGTAATAACTTGGCAGGATCAGAGCATCCATAAGCAGCAATCTTTGAAGCGATTTTCAGACACTAGCACACCGGTTAGGGACATACAACAGAGATGGTTTCAACACCAGGCTGCTGGCTACATAGCCCAGGTCACAAGGGAACATCGAGCACAAATGACATTCACAGCACGACTCGCTCTGCACAATGCCAACCCACAATGCAGACCCCTAACAAACAGAGCGTAGGTACTTCCCAGGAGTAGCAGAAATCACTTGTTATAAAATATTGCTTGCATTTAATATAGAGCCCGATCAAGTCTTTGAGATGTCTCAAAGCTCTTCACAAGATTTATTGCAAAGTGTACCGACTGTATTACGTAGATGTAGACAAATTTTCACACGGCAGCAATGTCCTCCAACCAGCTAAGAATGAGTGATTTTATCTTGGGAGGATGGCTGATTACCTCAAGTTTCCTCGGAAATATTTGAATGAAAGGAAGCTCTTTGTGACATTCGCACCAGAACATTCAATTCTTTCAAAACAGACACTGAACGTTTCTGCAATGCTGCAAAAAAAAACCCTGCAAACATGCACACGTTTCGGACCCACCAATGAAAACCAGAAACTTATCACTGCATACACAGGAGACTCACTGTAAGGTTCCCCATTCAGTAAGACAGTGAATTTGGAGAGGTGAGTTGTGTTACAACTCAGTTTAAATGAAATGAAATCAATCAACTAAAACTCAACAACATCTCACCATTAACAAACGCCCACTTCCTCCGGTTTTGTACAAACAGCATTTTTTTTAAAAAAACAATACTTGCATTTCACGACTTTGAAACGCCTCGAAGCATTTCGCAAGTAGTTTCTGTCAAGCGTAGTGTCTGCATTTGTGGATAAATACAGTAGGTGTTTTATGCAGAGCAAGGTCTCCCACAAACAGCCATGAGATGAACAGCCAATTATAATCCAGAGGGTTTCCACACTTACCTGCAACATACCAACTATTTCAACCTTGTTAAAAAAGATGAAGGAGTGAAGCGTGGACAGCATGTTTTCCTCAAACACAGAGGGTGTTGGCAGGACCATGTCCTGAATGTACTGTACTCTGTAGGTCTGATGGATTTTCTGCTTAAGTTCTGGATCCAAGATAGGGATCACCTCTTTAAACTTGGCTGTTTTGGTCAGAAACTCTCTATGTTTCCGTGGCTGGGATAAAGAAGGGTCATATTCTAGACATCCTATGACGTCCATTATACATTCTTCGGAAAACATGACCTCAAAAAGTGCAGTTCTGTTCAACAGGAAGATCCCTTTGATAATCTCGTACAAGTGGTGCAGTCCTTCTACGTTCTCCAAGTCCTCGCACACGTGAAAGAGTTCGAGGAGCTTTTTGATGTAGCCCTCATTCTCCAGTGCGAGCGCCAACTTCTCTCGTCGTAGGGGTGAAGGCAGGGAGGTGGCCACTAGCTCCGCCAGCTCCTCCAGCCTGCTGAGCTCGCACGGCGGCAGCTCCAACCCCGGTGAGGACATATCATCAAAGCGCTCCTCCTCAGACTCGTCCACCAGGTCCTGGGTGATGTCCACTGAGGGGTCCTTGCCTTGAACCTACCAGAAGAAGAAGAAGAAGAAAAAAAAATGGCAGGAGTCAACTCTGAAGTCATGATTCTATTTCAACGCTACAAACTACTGGGTTACTTTACTGGGTGGAGTCCTAGAGTGTAGTGGTTAGAATACTCGTCTCGCAAGAGAGAGGACATGGGTTTGATTTCCAGGCTGGACGAAACGTTGGGCAAGTTTACTTACTCCACACGCCGCTGTTTGCCTAGCAGCAAGTAGGAACCCGCTTGTTAGTCAGTTGACAGATTGCTGTTCCGTCTAACCACTGAGCTACAGGACTCCATGAGTCCTTGCATTTGATATCATATAGCGCCTTATTACATCGTTGAGCTGTCTCAAAGCACTTCACAGAAAATACTGCAAGGTGAATTGAGTGTGTGTTTTATGAGACATTTCGAAGCACTGTGAATGAGAAGCCCCACGTCAGGACCCAAACTCACAGTCTAGTCTGACACTACAGTGCAGTGCAGTTCTGCTGCATTACTGGAGGTCCCGGCATTCGGAAGAGACTTTAAAATTAAAGTCATAGTCATGAGGTGTTTCCCAGTATCCTCTAGAAACATCAGTTATTCACTTGCTGTTTGTGGGACCTTGATGTATGCAAAATAGCAGCCACATTTGCCTACAAAAATACAATCCCTACACATGGCAGAAGCCCTCTGAAATGTTCTGATATCGATCGGAGCTAGCAAAAGCAAAGATTATTATGTTAGTATAATTTCAATCCATTGATGGGAAGGAAGAGGGGAAGAGAGAAACGAAAGTGTAGAAAACCATCCCACAAGATGCTAGAGACCAGCACGAAATACTTGGTACATTGTGTAATCCAGGGCAGAGACGTTTCCTTAGGGATTTACACAAGTTGCCTGTGCCCCTCAGCAGTAGAAGCTCTGTAACAGAGAGGACTGAACAGGCAGGGGATTTTCCACTTCAGGATACAAGACATATTGATACCCACTAAATCCCAGACCAAAATGTTCCCCTGCAAATAAAAATAAAATCGAAGAAGAAAATGATACTGAAACAAGCGGCTTCACCATTGTCACACACAGGGCACTGAGCTCCTTGGGTTCGTGTTCCGCATCGCTGTTTGGAAGGCTATTTACGCAGCGGGTTGTTGACGTGGATTCTCCGTATACATAACCATTATATCACATTCCTTTTACTGGGAAAAGATTGCTTCCTTTGCCAATTTGATTTTTAGACAGACAACAAAGACTGTACTGTTCCAAAATAGAAACGCACGACAATGTGCAAGAACGTTGGCTGTCATTCACATCACAAAGCGGCCAGTGAGATCAGAGAGGGTTTCTAGGCATTGGCAGAATGGGCTGTGAGCTATGAGTTATGCTCCACTCTGCAAATCTACAGTCACCAGTTATTGTTTGCCGAGTCGTCAAAATTAGTCCATTCATTGGGCAGACCTCATGAGGCTATGCTTTAGACTGTGGCGGCTTTTAGTTTCCCATAATTCAGAGATTGTATGTCATAGTTGTTGGAAATATCCCATTAAATATTAAAAATCGCAACTCATAGGAACAGGAGGCCATTCAGTCCCTCAAGCCTGTTCCACCATTCTATTAGATCACTACTGATCTGTACTTCAACTCTAATTACCCGCCTTTGCCCACATTCTTTGATCCTCTGACCTAAGAAACATCTATCCACCTCAGTCTTGAAGATGTAAGTGGATCCAGCATCCACAGCTTTTTGGGGAGAGAGTTCCAGATTTCCACTACCCTTTGGGTGAGAAAATGTCTCCTGATTTCTCTCCTAAATTGCTTTAGCGACTAGTATGTTCCAACACAAGTCCACAGAAGTGCAACGCAGCAACTTGTCAAAAAGAAGCAGGACTTCCTCCCAGTGTCCCGGACAACGACCTTCCAGATAAAATCGGTCGTTCATCGGGTGTGGGACCTCACTGTGCGCAAAATGACTGCTGCGTTGCCGAAAAAATGTGGAGTCCTGTAGCAGACTGGTCAGAGCACTTGCCGAGTAAGCGAGAGGACCTGGGTTTGATTCCCAGGTGGGGCAAAACATTAGGTAAATTTCCTTACTCCACTCGCCTCTGTTTACCAAGCAGTAAGGAGGAACCCGGTTATTAGTCAAATCGCTTTTCCGTGGGCAATAATCCCTTAAAAAAAATTTGATCAATATTTCAGACAGCTTATTTGATAGTTACTTCTATATGTTGGCATTGGTTCAATGCATCAGACACTGCTGTGCACAATTGGCTGCTGCGTTTCGCCCACAAAATATACAGTCAATTCACTTTACAGTATATTCTGTTAAATGCTTTGAGATGTCTCAAAGACGTATTAAGGATTTTTCTTATTATTAAAATACACATTCACTGCTCACAGCAATAATTGAAGCGCTTTGAGTGGCAATTTTTAATCTTAATGGAATATTTCAGACAGCTTATTTGATAGTTACTTCTATATGTTGGCATTGGTTCAACGTGTAGCAGCCTCGGTTTCAAAAATGTTCAAGCAATTTTCAGAAAGAAACCCAATTAAGGTCTCGCGAGGCAAGAAACAGCCCAAAGGCTCGGTTTCACTCTGCACAGCGATTCTCAAATGTCACTCACAAGTTTCTACCAAAACAGCCCATCACTAAAGACATCAGGTGAACTTGCTGTCAAAAATCACACACTCATTGTGAGCAAAGTACAGCCTTACGTTCAGAACAACGACAACAACAAGATTTCATTTATAGAGCGCCTTTCACGTCGGGAGGATGTCCCAAGGCGCTGGACAATTGGGTCAGGACCCGAGCATTGGGGGGAAATGGTCAGGGTGAGGGGAGGGAAGGGAGGGAGTGAGGAGGGGGTAGAGAGTCGAGAGGGGAGCTGAAGGCTCGGTCAAAGAGAAAGGTCTTGAGACCGGCCTTGAAGAAGGAAAGGGAGGAAGCGGCGAAGGCACTGGGGGATGGAGTTCCAGAGCCTCGGGGCTGAGAGGCTGAAGGNCGACCACCGATGGTAGGGCGGTTGGGGCGGGGGATGTGGAGCAGACCGGAGCCAGGGGAACGGAGGGTACGGGCAGGTAAGTAGGGAGATAGTAGGTCATTGAAAAAAACATCAAAAACCTTTGATTTTGCTGCCGGTTTTCAAAGCTCCCCCCCACCCAATGAGTCAGGCTGTAAAGCTGCTGTTGAACGCAATACTGAGCCAGACATTTGAGGGTCCTACATTCAACTGCACTCTGAACTGAGCTGGCATCAGCTGGAGGTGGCGTCAGTAAGAAGGTTATAATTGGTGCCAGTATCCCCGAGCTAGGGTCGCACAGTCAAGAGCAATGAAACTAAAAACTACACCACCACAGGATGGCACCACAGAACAACTTCTACAATGTCCCCAGCTTACCCCCTCCACCAAACACACCCAGTCACACACTCATGTAAGGCCCAGGGGCAGCGTTCTAGGTGAAACATAAGATTGCTTGACGGCCAGGTGGGTAAAGGCAATGGGATACACAGAGCAAAAGACGGCAATGATCGCAGTTCTTCTCCCTCCCACTTGATCCAGGTACCAGAGGGTGCTCAATGCCCAATGTGGTGGTGGTGAAAAGTAAAACAAATCAAATGCATTCAGAGGTAAAGACCTAGAGATAAGGTTGAGACCTAGAGAGAAAGATTGACTACGTGTAGCTTTGTTCCAAAGACAGACAACAACAAGAAGATTACATTTGTATGGCGCCTTTCACGTTGGGAGAATGTCCCAAGGCTATTTTACATTGTGCCTTTCATGTCAGGACTTCCCAGAGCACATAACACTGCTGTCTGGGCACCTGAGCTAGGTGTGGACGCCAAAGGGAGTAGGGAGGGGAAAGTTGGCAAACGTCTTGAGATGGACCTTGAATGAGGTGAGTGAGGGAGCGAATCTGAGGTACTCCTCCGCTCAGCGGGCTCCGCCCTACTTGCCCTGCCTGCCCCACCACTGATGGGCAGGTCTTCTGACACTCTGCCCCCACCCTCTGGAACTTCATCCTGCAGTCCCTCCGCCTCGTCCCCTCCCTTGCCTCCTTCAAGGCCCATTTCAAGACCCTCCTTTTTGACTGTGCTTTCGATCACCCTGCTTTCCCCCACCGCCCTCCACCATCCCCGATCCCAAACCCTAGCTTGAGTCCAAAACCCTGACTGTCCAGCGCCTTGGGACGTCCTCCCGACGTGAAAGGCACTATACGAATGTAATTTTGTTGTTGTTGTTGTACTCCATCCGGAATGGCGTTGCAAGGAGATAACACAGAGTCTCCTGGATACTTCAAGACCATCTTAGCTGATGAGGCACAACATGGGCCCCCGTATTAGATTAGTGATTGAGATGAAAAGTTCATAATTTTATTTGACATCCATTACTCATCAGAAAAGAACCTGGCAAGCAGTGAAGGTGTGTGTTTACATGCTGGAGAAAAGCTTGCTAAAGATATCCAAGTGAACTATGAATAGCTAGCTGTATGTCACAGCTCGCTATGTGACAATCAAGGTCATGTTTCAAGAAGCCACAAGCCACAAATGGATAGACTTGGCGTGGTCTGGGCATATTGCTATGAATGAGTACTTTTGTGAGATTATGTTGCTAGTTAAGATATTTTGAGTGAAGAAAGGAAACAAAGCACTCTATGGTGGAGATCAGATCCTTTGGCCAGACGGTGACAAATTTGCTTACAATCTACAATAATAATCCTTGCTTTTGATATAGCACCTTATCATGTCGTTGAGGCATCTCAAGATACGCTGTAAAGTGGGTGAAACTCGGCACCAATTGGACGTCACAGACACAATACAGTATTCTGGGGCTGTTCATACATCCTGGAATTTGTCTCACACAATTGTGAAACAGAATTGCCATGATTTTCACAACATTTGTAATCAATTTCCTCTTGCTTCACACTCTGGAGAGAGGTTTATAACACTTCACTAACCTGCCATAAAACCAAGGGAGATTAACACATAATACGTTTAGCTGCGTGCACAAGAACCTCAAGAAAGGGGACAATGTGGCCTTTTTTTTATAAAAAATATATGCCATTAGTACTTGTACTAACAATGCATTTAAGAAACCACTATCAGGGAAAAAAACACACCCAACTTGCATGGCCTTACCCCTCGGTCCGGTGCCCAGCTAGCATAGCCAAACTCTTTAAGATATCGCTCCTGATGTGAAAGGCGTTAAGATAAATGATATTGTACATTGAAAAGAGGCCTAAATCTTTCCCTTATGCTGATACGGTTTACGCTGAGAATGCTGGATCCAGACAAATTTTCAAGACTGAGGTGGCTAGATATGTGTTAGGTCAGGGTATCAGGGGCTATGGGACAAAGACGGGTAATTAGAGTTGAGGTACAGATTCTAACAGAATGGTGGAACAGATTCGAGAGCTGAAGGGCCTCTGCCTGTTCCTATGTTCTTACACTGACTTATGACAGTGCCGTGCTGATGGCAGGGCTGTCTGTTATAGCCAGAATTTCAGAGGAGGCATACAATGAACCAGCATATTTCACCACCGAGTGTTGTGGTTTCCTAGAGTCATTGCCTTGTTACACAATAACATCAGCCTGTTCTGTAACGCAAGATGAAAACAGCGGAGGGCAGATAGGATGCAGCCGCCACAGCTGCCAGCTAAGCACGGTGTGAGAAGCGGACATAACTAACTCACTGATACCCGGCACCAATGACGCTGCCTTATTTAACAACATCAATATCGTCACCGAGTTAGAAACAACTGACCAAGAATTAGTGATGATCATCAGTTTCTGAGCCAGGCTCATTTCTCACACTTAAAGGCCACACAGCACGTTGTGGTACGTACCTGACATATCTTTTCCCATATTTCATCGCAGCCTGCTTTTTCTTGGAAGCTAAGGGCCAAGTCATAGTTGTCTGCCTCCGACCACACAATCAACGTGTCCTAGAAACCAAAAGAAATTAAATGAGTAAAAACAGATTCAATTTGCCATCGGAAGTAGACCAGTATATCCACCACTAAACACACCAGGAAGTGAGCCATTATAATAAGAACATAAGAACATGCGAGGTGAAGGAAGACCAAGGTACATCTAGTTTGCCTTCCACCATCGCTTGACATGTTGTATTCCAAACTATATACTATATCTCCAGATATTATTTTCTAGCAGAAATCTACCTAATTTAATCTTGAAGCAAACAATATTTCTGCTTCCACCATCTTCCTAGGGAGCCTGTTCCATAAGTTTACTACTTGATCACTCAAGTACTGTCTCCTCAGATTTGTTCTGAATTTACCCCTTTCAAAACAGCTGATTACAGTCTACAAAATACAAGATAGAAGATTTGATTGCTGGCACAAATGGCACTCACAGTAACTTAATGTAAACACATTGCAAATAAATTGACTGAGTCTCAGTCAGGAGGGACTATCAAAATAGGAGGCAGAGCAAATGAGGCTACGATGTGATCAGATTCAGAGAAAAGTTACTTTGTTTTGGTGATGGGCTAGTTGATGGCGTATGCAATTCAGCGTGGTTACCTATGGATAACAAATTATGGGGTTGAGGAACCAATAATAATAACAAATTATTTACACAGCGCCCTTCACGTCAAGAAGCTGTCCCAAGGCGCTGGACAGTCAGGAATTTGGATCTGAGCAGGGGGTTGTGATCAGGAAGGGTGGAGGGCAGGGGTGTGTGTGTGTGTGTGTACACATAGGAGGGTGGATGAAGGCACGGTCAAAGAGGAGTGTTTTGAGACATGGCTTGAAGGAGACAAGGGAGGGGGCAAGGTGAAGGGACTGTGGGACAGAGTTTCAAAGAGTGGGGCAGAGAGGCTGAATGCCCGACCGCCGATGCTGGGGGACACGGCGGGGATGTGAAGCAGACCACAGCCTGCTGAGCGGAGGGAACAGATAAGTTAATCTGGCGTTAGCAGGTCACAGAGGTAGGAAAGAGTAAGGCAAGAAGAGGGAGTAATGCATTAAATAGTTGAACAGTGTGCTGAGGAGGAAATTAATCAGCGTCCCTATGGATAAATACTGTGCTTGAAACATGTCAGACCAGTAATAATAAAACAATAACACTTGCATTTAATACAGCGCCTTATCATGTATTCGAGACATCTCAAAGCGCTTCACGGAATATACTGTAAAACAAATTGACTGTATATGTTGTGGGCGAAATACGGCAGCCAATTGCGCACAGCAGTGCCCCACAAACAATCATGGATTGAAGCGACCAATATTTTGTTAAGGATTTACTACCCCCGGAAAAGTGATCCTCCTGACTGACAACTGGGTTCCTATTTACTGCCAGGTAAACAGAGGCGTGTGGAGTAAGGACACTTGCCCAGAAACATTTCGCCCTGTTGGGAATTGAACCCAGGTCTCTTGCTTGCGAGGCGAGTGCTATAACCACTGAGCTGCAGGACTCCACAGTGCTCGAGTTCAGCTTTTTCTAAAAAGTAGAAGGAAATGTGAACTTACCCGTGAAACTCTACTCTTGAAAAAACTATGGTTATTTAAAAAAAGTTACCAGATTACTTTTTAGATAGAATTAGTAAAAGTAATTGGTCACTCAATCCAGCAACTGTTTATGGGACACTGCTGTGCGCGTTTCATCCACAAAATATACAGTTCACTCCACTTTTATGGTATATCCTGTAAAGAGCTTTGAGACGTCTCAACGTGATAAGGCGCTACATCAAATGTGAGTATTATTATTATTATTATAGAAATGGGTTCAAGGGAAATAGTGCAAAGGGCAAGTTTCAAACCGGTCAGAAAGGAGAAAGATGCTTGTTGTGCTCAATGGTCTTTTATTAACCTTAGTACATGAATAATAGATGGCGGCCACCCGATATAGCAAGCTATGTAATTCATTCTGCTAGCTAACTAGGCTTGCGGCTCGACTACGCCAACTCCCTCCTTGTCGGCTTTCCCAACTCTTCCCTCCACAAGCTGCAGATCATCTAGAACTCTGCAGCTTGTATCCTCTCCCGCACCGGGCTCCGTGACCCCATCCACCCCACCCTCGCCCGACTCCACTGGCTCCCCATCCCCCGGAGGATAGTGTTCAAAATAATAAAATAACAATCCTTGCATTTGATATAGCGCTTTTCACGTCTTCTCGATGTCTCAAAGCGCTTCACAGAATAGACTGTAAAGTGAATTGACTGTATATTGGTGGTGCGAAACGCAGCAGCCAATTGCGCACAGCAGTGTCCCACAAAGTCGTGGATTGAAGTGACCAACTTATTATTGTTTTTTTTCTTGAGGGATTATTATCAGGCGTGTGGAGTAAGGAAATTTGCCCAAGGTTTTGCCCTGCCAGGAATTGAACGCAGGTCTCTCGCTGGTGAGGTGAGTGCTCTAACGACTGAGCTACAGGATTCCTTGTCCTCGCCTTCAAGGCCCTCTACGTCCTTGCCCCATCCTACCTCAGTGATCTGCTGACCTTTTATCAACCTTGGTTCAGCTCCACATCCACCGCTAGCCTGCTAAACCCTCGGCGATCAGGCCTTCGGTCTCTCCACCCCCACCCTCTGTAACTCCATCCCACATTCCCTTCGCCTCACTCCCTCACCTCCTTCAAGGCACGTTTCAAGACCCTCCTCTTCGACCGTGCCTTCGGCTACCCTCCTTTACCCCAACCTCACCCCCTCCCCTGCTCAGGTCCAAATCCCTGACTGTCCAGCGCCTTTGGAGGTGAAAGGCGCTGTACAAATGTGATTTTGTGATTTTGTATTCTAACTGCACAGAAACACAATCTTGCAGGAAGTTTGGAAATATTGTGCATGTGGTTGCGGCAAAAGCAACAGCCCTGTTAGTCATTTAAGTGACCATTGATTCCCTGTCCCCACCCTGGTCTCGCCAAAATCAGTTGCCAATTATTGTCTTTCTGTGGCACAAATCCATTCAACAAAAAACACAAAATATATGGTTACTGCAAATGATAGCTATTACATGTGAAGCCTTTTGAGATGTTTCACAACTATAGGCACTGTATCAAATGCAAGGGCTAGAAATGCAATTGTAAGCAACTTAAACCGCCAACCCTCTTTCCATTCTAATCTCACCTCAGTCCCGAAAATATGTAACACTTACAAAACAAACCCTTCTCCTCACCGTCTCAGACCTAAACTAACTGGAATCGGTGCGGGTAATGAGTAAAACAAGCGAAGACTTGCATTCACTTACTGTGACCCCAACAAACCACCGCAAACTATCCAAGCCGGGTTTATCATAAGGTACAAACCGCATCCTGTCTATCCTTTCCAGTGTATCATATTAGACATAAGATAGATGGCTGAATCACAGAGATTCTGCTGCAGATAAAAAAAACTTTGTAGTAATGCATCCACCCCACAGAGGTATTAAAAAATAAAACAAAAATGATAATAATTTGGTGGTTGTTTGTGAGACAATGCTTTGAGACGTTTGAAGACGTGGTAAGGCCCTGTGCCGTATCAAATGCAAGGATTCTTATATATCTGTAAATAATAGAACAAACCGTGGAGAGATGTAAACAAGCTGAGTGCCCCCTACTCGGCAGGATTCCCCCACAGAAAACCAGGACTGGACAAACAATCGTTAAGTGGTTACTCGATCTTAATTGTAAAGTTCACAGTTAAGAAAAATCCCTGGGGTGAAATGAATGAAAATCAGCCATATGTACACTATTATCTCATGGGTGTGGAATGCCTAATTTATTCCCTCTACAAGAATCAACATGGGAAAAATGCCTTCCCTCGAGCCGCCGGTCAGCAGTTTAAAAATATCGCTCTACTGCATCTCACTCTCTCCTCCTGAATAAGTGTTGTCTGTAACCATACCAACCACCTCACTACAGCGTTCTGAAACAGCATCTCTCCCTCTCTCACACACACACACATGGCCGACCCACCTCACCATTGGCGGTCGGGCTTTCAGTTTCTGCCCCAATCCTTTGAAACTCAATTCCAGGCCCTTCACCGTTCCCTCCGTTGCCTCCTTCATGGCAAGTCTCAAGACCCTCCTTTTCAACCGCGCCTTCAATCACCCTCCTGCCCTACCCTCCAGCTCCCAACCCTCCGCTCAGGTGCAAATCCCTGACTGCCCAGCGCCTTGGGACATCCTCTCGACACGAAGGGCGCTGTGTAAATATAATTTGTCATTGTTAGTATTATTGCCACCCCTGTTTCCAACCAACTGGCCAACTGCTAAACCTCAGTGTAGATGCACACTTTCACCATCATGTTCAACACACGGTAAGGACACAGGCAAGGAAGGCTGGGGAAGTACAGCCTGCGCGGGCAAAGAGAAACAGCCAGTCACAAGTGCACCACTCCACGACTACCCAGACCATTAATTCACCCTTGTGCACACAGCACCAAGTGCTCTCCAGGTAGACTGGAATCACAAACTCTGCAATCTGAGTGCTTCAAGTGGGAAACGTATGACCATTTTACTCACATGCCATCGCACGTCGCTGGAATCCTAGCAACAATAGCACTCAACCATGTGATTTTTATATTCTTTTATGAATGATATAGGAGTCAAAAACAGAACGCTGGATGTGACATGGTTTATCCTACAATTGGAGGTCATCGGGGAAACCAGCAATTAAGCTCCTTCATCAGGGTCCTTCAAAATGTCCAACCCTGCCTTTGTAAAGCGCTTTGAGGCTTTTCCAAAGTGAAGGGCACGACATAAATGCAAGTTGTTGTTGTTCCTATTCACTAGTTATATTCCGACATATTAAACGAAAAAAAAACATAGGTATTCGAAGCCGCCCCGAGAGCAAGGTAAAGAGATTTGAGCGTGGTTGGGGAGAAGAAACATGCAATTCGCTGAACCATAGCCTGATGCTGTACATCACAGCCAGCATTTTAAATAGGATCAACATTAGACATTTATGTAAGAAAAAGATTAAGATTCAGCAACAACAAATTACACGTGTATATCACCTTTAACATCGGGAGGTCGTCCCAAGGCGATGGACAGTCACGGATTTGGACCCGAGCAGGGTGTTGGGATCAGGAGAACAGGGTAGGAGGGTGATCGAAGGCACGGTCGTAGGGGAGGGTCTTGAGACGTGCCTTGAAGGAGGCAAGGGAGGGAGCGAGGTGAAGGATAGTAGCTCCCAGTCTCCCAGAGTCATGCCACAGAGGCCGGGCTCTTTGGCCTAGGGAGAGGAAGTCACCTGAAGATAAGGAGGGAACTCCTGAGCAGGCTTGAGGAGGCTTGGGAGACATTGGTAGACGGTGTGTGGTGTGGGAGACACTTGTAAATGAAAGAAAGAAAATGCTTTGGCTTCATATCCCCCTTTGAACCTCCTCCCCAAACAAAAAAATCTTTACTCCTCAGAATCCTTGCACTGCTTCCTTACTGTCAGACTAGGACATGTAGATATCTTGAGCCCTTACCTGTTGTTTTTGATACGCCGTATTAGGATTTATTTTAGATTCAAGAAGGAGAGAACCTGGCAAGAAGAAGAAAAGTATGTGTTAGCTGGTAAATATTCACACCACTTATGTCTTCAGATACTAAAACATTCCTTCAGCACTACGATTTATTGACAGCACAGAATAGAAGCCTTCACTGCCCCTCCCTTACACCAGTCACTCACGTGAAAGGCGCTATACAAATATAATCTTGTTGTTGTTGTTTATTCCCTGTTGCAGACGAGTTGAGTGTACCAATGTCTGACAGCAGTAACTTCCTCCTCACTGACTCCCTCCATGTTATGGAAAGTATGACACACGAACATGACGACAGATCATTATCTGCCATGAAAATGATGGCGCTCACTCACTCACTCACACCCATCCTCTGCATGTCTAAATACAGTCAATAAATATTGGTGCTGAATTCAATTAATTACTTCTAAATACCATTATCATCATTCTTCCACGTTTCAGTTGTTGGTCAGTGCACTGTAGAAAAAGAAACGTGGGGGTGACAGGACTTTGTGAACACCCTGTAGAGACACTGGATAATGAACAGGAGCAGAAAATCCTGGCTGCATATTCCACAAAGCAAAGCGCTTCACAGAATATACTGTAAAGTGAATTGACTGTATATTTTGTAGGTGGAATATGGCAGCCAATTGTGCACAGAGGTGTCCCACGAACAGCCATAGATTGAGTGACCAAATTCTTCTTATTTTTTGTGAAAGGATTATTACCCCCGGAATAGCAATCCGCCAACTGGACATTTCCCTCTCCGGAGAAGGGATTAAACACACTGTCTTGCCAATGTTACCACAGGAGAACCCAAACAGTGGATCAGGAAGCAAATCAGTTATTTTTAAAAGGTGGCTAATCCCCAATGAGCAGTGGTGCTGTTATGCTAAAACGGATCGGTGACAACACCATGCTGGGTTTAATGCAAAGAAAACGTTGCAGTACAGTCTATCCTTATAGTTTTGCACAACATCCACGGGAAAACAAATTCCACTTTTGTTTGAAACCGTGACAGATTACTGGATGAGGTGTTGCAAAATGCCCGTGCAGCCACAATCAATCACGCTTGATATAGCGCCTTATCACATCGTCATAGAAAAGCGCTTTCACACAATATACTGTAAAGTGAATTGACTGTAAACTTTGTGGGTGAAATGCCGCAGCCAATTGCGCACAGTCCTTTCCCGCAAACAGTTGGGAATTGAGTGACCACATTATTTTTATTTTATTAATAGTGGGGGTGGAAAAAGACCCAGACCCCTTTTATTATTATATAATAATAATCCTTGCATTTGATATAGCTAGCGCCTTGTCATATCATTGAGCCGTCTCAAGGTGAATGTGCTAAGTATTTTGAATCTATATAACCATAAACCTAAGGTAACAACAAAAAAAACTTTCACTCCAAGTGTCGGAATGAAAATTCATTCAAATCACACTCCCAGAAAGAACAGTTGATTGCTTGCGACAACAAAACATAATTTGCCATTTAACCCTGACCCAGGATGGGCTATAAGAAAAGTGCTTAAAATGTCACTCCCAACTAAATATCTTATTCGGAAGAGGAAGACAATTAACAGCATGAACTTTAGAATAGATTTGCATCTCCCCGACACATTACATTTTAAAAAATGTAGTGTGGGCGAATTTTGTGTGCGAAACTTGGCAGCCAATAGCACACAGCAGAGTCCCACAAACAGTCGTGGATTGAGTGACCAAACTATTATTGTTATTTATTTTTGAAGGGATTTTTACCCCTGGAAAAGCGATCTACCAATTAACTAACAACCGGGATCCTGCTTACTGCCAGGTAAATAGAGGCGTGTGGACGAAGAAAACTTGCCCAATGTTTCGCTCTGCGCCGGAACCAAACGCAGGTCCTCTTGCTTGCGAGGTGAGCGCTCTAACCACTAAGCTACAGGATTCCCACTTAGGTTTCAAAAGTGCAGAAAATCATGAAAATACTTGTAATCCACATATTGAAAGAAAATTCTTTTTGTTCGACTGCACCTTTGGTCACCTCTCTCTTATCTCCCTCCCAGTTTGGATTATCACTTTCTTTGCAAAATGCTTTGTGACATTCTCCCCCTGGGAAAAGGTGCTGTGGGAATGCAAATTGTTCTTGTATGCAAAAAGGAAGCTTTCCATTAAATGCATCTGCTCCTTTTGATAACCTCGACACAAGCTACAAGTCACAAAACCAGCTACAAATCTCTTTGGAACTCCATCCCTCAGTCCCTTGGCCTTGCTTCTTCCCCCGTTGCCTTCTTCAAGGCATGTCTCAAGACCCGCACCTTCAGTCACCCTCCTACCCCTACCCTCCCCGCCCTCACCCCTCCTGATCCCAACCTTGGGACGTCCTCCCGACGTGAAAGGCCCTACGCAAATGTAATTTGTTATTGTTGTTCTTTAGCTATTGGTACAGAATTGGACAATTAATAACGATTACAGAACAACGGTACCACAAAGGTGTTTCAAATCGAGTCAAACATACAGGGAGCTGTGCTTTAATCACCTGTGCCTCAAAATGTAATTACAACTTTGTAATCAGTCCAGAGAATGAATCGGTTTTTAATTAATAATGTGCTCAGGAGACCGATATATTGAGGCATTTTTCATGACACCGTGGGTCAGGGGTGGACACACAGCTAAATCGCTCAATTCAGACTCCAAAGATAACCCTCATTGAAGGTTCAGGAACTGTGATGTGACTGCTGCAAGTCTATCGAATGAAACATCAAACACTGACTTTGCTTGTGTTAATCAGCGACTAACCAATTGAAAGACGATCTGACTGTTTTTTTAAAAACAAACCTCTGATGGGTAAACGTAACTAACTAGTAAAAGGGCGATTTCTCATTCATCAATCTGCAATTGTGTCCACATTGTCTGTCTGTGTGGTACGTTTGTGGGAATATGTTATGTCCGTTAGCACTGGGGAACTCCCCTCCAAATCGCTAATGTTATTTCCAAATCGCTAATGTTATTTAGTGTATATAATCCTCGTCATTCATTCTCTCTGCACACAAAGGATTAGGTTACACAACGGAACAGGTTTAGTTTAGGTTATACACTCTTGAAATAAAAACAAATAGCTTTTAGAAATATGGTGACCAGTGTTTCAAAACATACCAGATAACTGTTTACTTGTTTCAATTCTGACCATTTTATCGTGCTGGGTTCAACCGGCAGATTATAATAATAATAATAAACCCCACGTCAGAACGTCGGTTTCAGTGCAGTACTGAGGAGAGCGCGACACTGTCGGAATTGCCATCTTTCAGATAAGGCAACAACCCAAGATCGTGTCAGTCCGATGCCACAACATTATTGCATTCGATAATCCTTGCACTTGATTGTTACCTGTGCCATAAACCTTGGAATCATTTGTCATTTAGCACAAGGCTGGCTGTTGGACTTTACTGCACGCAAAATGACTGCCAATGATTCAAAATTAAACATCCGATCAAATGTAATTAGCTGCTCACCTGAAGACAAAATACTAATTTGGTCACTCAATCCACGGCTGTTGTGGGACACTGTTGTGCGCAATTGGTTGCCGCGCTTTGCCCACAAAGTCAATTCACTTTACGGTCTATATTCTGTGAAGTGCTTTGGACGTGATAAGGTGCTATAATCAAATGCAAGGATGATTATGTTATTATTATATTTTGGGGGGCAAGAAATCCAACTTTCCTTCCGATGATAGATTAGTCAGATTCATCCAAGTGATGCCACAGAACAGCAATATAAAGTGTGTCAGAATCTGGCCTATTCACTATATTCCTGCTGCTCGAGTTACCAAACTCTGCCATGTTGTGACTGTGTAACAGGAGGGGAGGGGATAGGTACAGAGAAGGGCAGGGCCTTTCCCCTAATCCACCTTTGTACACTTTTAGTCTCCAGGTTACCACAGCCGCGTTTTATGGAGCAAAGGCGGGTAATTGGAGTTGAGTTACAAAACAGCCATGATCTAATAGAATGGCGGAACAGGCTCGAGGGGCTGAATGGCCTCCTCCTGGTCCTATGTTCCTGACACTCAATTTTAGATTTCAGTACTATGGTTATTTCCGAGCAAATAAAAGCCCCCGTCCCAATTAAATGTTTGGAGTATTCTAAGAATGACATGAAGAAACTTAACAGCCAGAAGATGTGTCATTGACTGCAGATATAGATCTAAAGTTAGTCAGACAATCTGCTCCTCCCAGTCAAGGACATCAGTAAGTCATAAGCTAGTCTTGGTAGGGGTGGGGGGTTGCGGAAATGGGACAGGAGCAAAAATGAATGCAATCATTGTATTGTGAATCATTCTGAAATGCATCACACACATATCGTCAGTTGCCGTACATGTGAAGTGATGTTCCCAAAATGATCTCTGTAAACATTGTTCGTTCTCACAGAGAAGACTTTGCTGGCATAGAGGAAATATAATACTCCAGAAAGAGCCGTTCAGATTTACAATTACTTGCTCATTAGTTTTGTAAACAAATATCTGAACTGAGTCACTCATCTCAGCCTCGCCGGTTTCTGAGAAAAAGCTGAACCAAGAAAAGCCAAGAACAAGTCCCAACTTGTTTGGATTATACTCCACATTCACGAACATCAATTAAACCAGGGTGGTCCAACCCTTTGGTGGCTAAGAGCTGCATAAACAATATTTTTGTGTTTGTCTTCCAGAAATATAACATTCACGGTTTAGCGAGGGCACGGGTGGCCAGATGGAATCTCTTGGCTTATTGGGGTGATCCAACTGGCGGCCCATGGGCCACATACAGCCCGTGGGCCGCCAGTTGGACTACCCTGATAAACCAAAAGACCAAAACCACTCAACAGTTTGATAAATCAGGTTAGAAGCCTTACATAGGGCAGGATCAAATCTGTGCACCAGGAATTATCTTAGTGGAAAATAAACATTTCTTCCATTCCCTCCTTCTGCTCTATTGTACCTAATCGAGTTGAGATGTTCATTTTACATGAACAACAACTTGGATTTATATAGTGCCCTTCACAGAGGATA